GGTGCCAAGCAAGCCCGACGCGAGGAACGAGCGGCTCGGGCTTGCGCTAAGCCAAGCTAGGTGTGGCTGAAGAGCCCTCGCGTGCTGAGCACGCGGCGCCACGCGAGCGCCGCCTTCTCCCGTAGCTCTCCCAATGCTCAGCACGCCGCGTCAGTCTTTCGAATTTTCACTCTTTCTCTCTCCCCTCATCCTCGACGCCTGAGTGGAGAGTTCCTTTCGACCCGCCCACCACTGCCCTGTCAGTCTAGTGTGTTAGGGTGTAGCCCGGATTTCGTCGGGTATCCGACAGTCCGCGCTGTGGACACCTGCCACACTCAGAGTCCGGCCGCGGCTTCCGATTGGCTGCCACACACTTTTGGCTGGCGCCACTTCGGCATCTCGGCCTCCGGCCGTTCCCGCGCCGACCTCTCCCCCAACACCACGAAATCGTACGAAACATCGCACGTCGGTTTCGTGTCTAATCCACACTGTTTACTTTACTGACGCCTTTGTCTATTTCTCGATATCCCACACCCTAGCTTGGACGCCCTTCTTCTCCTCTGCGGCGATAGTCTCCAACCATTTAGCCACGAACTTGGAATGCGCTCCGAAGTTAATCGTCGTATCGAGAACATCCCTGACGGACGGAATGAATATCCCACAGCGCACTCGACGGAAGCGGTAGACATACCTAACCACGCCGGTCTTGTCAATGAAGAAAGTAACACGAGCATCGGTCATGCCCAGCAATCCTTTGCCGACGTGATAAGCCTTACGACCTTCGCCGCTTGCGTCACTGAGCACGGGGTACTGGACCATCGTCAATCAGCATATGTGCAAGAGCAGGCCTTCCTAACTCACGGTTAACTTGTGCTTCTCGACGAACTTCTTCTGCTCTTCGACTGGATCAGCGCTTATCCCGATTACCTCGATTTTTGCATCCTTGAAGTTCGGCTTGTCTAAAGGAACTCGGGCGTTAGGGGAGATGAACGCAGGTAGAATTGGCAATTAAGCGCACCAGCAAGCGCGTCTCTGAATTCGCAAGCCTCTTTCGTGCAACCGTAGGAGCCTGGTGCCATGATAACGTGCGATCAATAGTATAATCGAGCCAGTGTCGGTAGTTCGGACTCACCAGACTTGGGGTAGAAGAAAAGGGCAGTGGGTACCCCGTTCGCACCCGGTGTGAATGTGAAGCTCTCCCCATTGAAGTTGGGAAGGGTTAGGGAAGGAGCCTTCTGCCCAATTAACGGATGTTTGCCCATTGATCAGTCCTTAGATTTGGCTTTGCAGAGAAGACGAGCAGTCGGAAACGCGCTGGAGACACGGGAGGCATCTCGTACCCTAGGATAGTATTTATAGGCAGCCATGGTACCGCCTGTAACGGCAAAGCTGCGAAGCCGTAGGAACGTAATGGAAGCGGGTCGAGAGAAGCCCGTCTAGACATAGGTCGAGGCGGCACTGGAAGACATCCCAAGACACTCCAAGTTGGTCATGAGTCTATCCAATGCAAATCTTCGCCTGCAAGTAAGTTCCATTCAATAAACAATATTCACTGCAGTAGGGATTCAAGGTTACATATTCCTCATGTCAAAGATCACAGATGTGTTCAGTCGGGGGATATATCATTACGGGAAATGTATATAGTGCGAACCTTCTAAATTACTCAAAAATGTCGCTAGCTCCCCGCTCTTGCTCGACTCTTTCCCATGCCTGCTGTGCCTCCTCTTCGCTGTAGTTCTGCACCATCTTCAAAATGTCAATGCATACGTTCCTCACACCCGTCGCCACCTTGCGGGAGCCGCAAACGTAAAACTGACAAGGCGGATCTTAAGTACTTTGAGGAAGGCAGACTGATGCGTTCCCACTTACCCTGGCTCCGGCATCATAGGCTTTTCGGACATCTTCCCGGTCGTGCCATATGCGTCTATGGAAGAAAGTAGGTTGGTAGGGGCAGTAGGGTTTTGTGTGAAACCGACTTACTCCTGGACATATTTGCACCCTTCGGACTTCTCGCTTGCCCTAGAGAATGCAGGTCGAACATCCACGACACCCATCTTCACCCACTCTGCGAGGTCATCCTCAGCATATAGGTAGTCTTCCTCTGGAGATCTGCATCCGAAGAAGAGGTACATCGGCCCCACTTCTCTCCCCGATTCCTTCTGCTTTGCTCGTTCTTGGATGAAGCCTCGCATCGGAGCCAATCCAGAACCAGCGCAGAACATGAGAATCGGGACGGACAGATCGGAAGGTGGGTGGAACTGCGTCGCTGACGCTTTGACCATCAATTGCACTCGTTCCCCCGGCCGGAGGCGCGCAAGATAATTGGACGCAACACCAAGGAAGGGTACGTCCCGATGTCCCGGAATCGGCGCGCCTTCGACGATGCTAACCGTCAAGGTAGCGTGTTCCGGATCGGCGAGAGGAGATGAGGAGATTGAGTATTGACGTATACGCATTGGCGGCAGAAGCTTGAGGAACGTAGTGAATGGCATCTGGATATCCCTGTAGGACTCCAGGATATCGAGAAGACTTATACGTTTCTCGAGCACTGAAGCCTTGTAGTCCGACGTGAGCGCCTCAAGCTTGGACTTTGTCGCAGGATCGCTCGCTTGACTCGACAGAACCTGCAGGTCCTTAGTGCTAACCGGTTGAGATAGTTCGACATAGCCGCTCAGTAAAGACTGAACGTTGATGGGCCTGTTCAAAGGAAGTGTGCTGGGACTGCTAGAAGAGATCGTGACTTCTTCTTCCGCGGACAAGTTGAAGTGAGCTAGTGCGCGTTTCACCAACTCCATCGGATTGACCGGGAGTCTGGAACGTGCGTCAGGTCAGTATTCGATGTCCACGGAAATCGAAAAAACATACATAGCAAGGTAGTCTCCCGCTCTGTAGGAGCTTCCCTCTGGAAGAGCGAACTCTTGAGGCAGCTTAGTTACTGGAAACTAGTGCAAGGAGAAGCATTTACCGATGTGCCGTTTGACCCCAGAGGCGGGGGGTTTGGTCAAAACCTTATTCTGTGTAACAGTGCCGAGCTTTGCATCAGGTTGGCGTAAGTCGGAAGCTCGGGTCGTCCCGGACGTGGTGGTCTCTACTTTCAAGCTTTCCTCCACCTGTTCCGATACAGTGTTGTACTCCTGCTCATGGTTAGCGTCCCTATCCAAAGAAATGGAAATGCCTATCAGAGTTACCTTAGTGAGAGTGCTCCAAAGCTCAGCTTCCCAGGCATCAAAATCCTCAAAGAAGGTGCTCCCTGCCGCATCGCCCTCCCCTCGCGGCAGTAGTCGCATTCCCCCCTTCTTCTCCAGCAGCTCGTCAACCAATCTCGGTATCCGCTGATAAGTGCGAACCCAGTCCCTATTCCCGCAGCCGAATAAAGCGTACTTGAGTCCTTCGAACTCAGTGTCTGTCGCACCTTGTTCAAGCCACTGAACAGCTTGCGCAGCGTTGTCCGCCGGCTGACCTTGGTAAAGAAAACGACAGTTATTCGGAAGAAACTCGTGGACGCAAGAGCACCATACCTTCAAACGAAGCTGTGATGATGACGACAGGGCCATCCTTGAAGACCCTCCCAACCGACTGGTCTAGCGTGCCGATTGAAGCCTTGAATCCTTCGATGAGTGAGGGTTAGGACTCGGGTGCCACGATGTTAGGAAGTCCACGAACCATGAGAACTGGCGTCCGACGCTATTCTTTGCGCGAAGGACTCCGACGTACCCGTGTTACTACCATAGAGTACGTACAATGGCGGCCGAGGCTTTCCATCGTCAGACTCTACAGGTGCACTAGTAGGGGTGAGGTCTTTCGCTGTCGACCGACCCGCAAGGAGGCTCGACGAAGGTGTCGACAGGAGGTGGGCCGCATTCGACCGAAGACTGGCATGAATGTAGAAATCCTTTGGTTTGAGTGTCAATGCCTGCTTGACTTCCAAGTTATAGCTCGGGTCGTGGAAAGACAAGTCGAATGTCTGCACGATGGTCGCCATAACGAGCAGCGCTTCTTGCCACGCAAAAGGACGTCCCTAGGAGAATTCCAGCTACTATCCACAATTTCAGTGCACTGGACTTACGATACAGGCACGCATACCGAATCCAAACGGTTGCCATGATTCGGGCTATATCCGGGTCAGCATGAGCTCTGACGCGCAACGACAGGCTTACCGGCATGGCCTCGAATTTCCCATCGAGCATGCGCTCGGGCTTGAACTCGTCTGCCTTCGGAGTCATTCAGCAGCTGTCAAGCTAGATCAGTAGATAGTCTCACATCTTCTCCCCAGACTTTGGGATCGTGGTGCGCCTCGTGGTTATTGATTGCGATGCCTTGGCCCTTCTTAATTGAATATTTGCCCGCCAGAACACAGTCTTCCAGCGCTGTCACAGAGCGTAAAGCTGCAGTGGAGTTCAGCCGGAGAGCTTCCCTTAATACAGCTTAAGTCACGGGGTAAGTCAGCTTTATAGTACTGGTTGGGTATCCGGCCGGCATACCATTGAGATAGGGTAGTTTCGAGAGATGCTCCAGCGTTATCGGGTTACCCTGCGTAACGTCGTCCACTTCTTTTCTGAGACGGATCAATTTCTCTGGATTCTTGAGGAGATGGTATGTAGTGAAAGAGAGCATCCCGGACGTCGTTTCATGACCTAGGTTGTTATTCAGCTGACTGGTGCGCATACCATCCTCCGAAATGGAGCTTTCAGAGAATACCACGAATACTTACCAGCAATGAGGAACGTGATTAACTATGGAAGTTCAGTCAGCGGCGAGAGTCTCCACCATCTGAATGGTAATACTCACGTTCTTGGTAATGGCATCATCACCTAACCCTTGTCCTGTTTTGGGATCCTTACCATACAGCATAGCATTAAGTAAATCCTTCTTTTCGATTGGATGAAGTCTGCGGTGTTTGACGACTAGAGTGACCGTAAGTAGCTGCGAAGGTATAGAGGACCAATAATACTGACTTTCGCTGGCGACATCGACCATGTGCTTACAATCCGCTTCAAACTTCGCGGTCGCGCCCGTCATAAGAGACTGCACAATTGCAGGGCGATTTGCGCGGGCGTTGCATTCTTTCAAGAAATCTGTCATAGCCTCGCAAAACGGAGGCAACGTTTCCTGGGAATAATCTCGCATCGAACCAACTATGAGGAGATCGAAATTCTTACACTATAAAAGGAGTTGAATCTATATGATTCCGAGGGGTAAGAAATCTAGGCTGACGAATCCAGGAACACGTCTCTCGTACCTATAGTTCATTGCACATAGTGCAATAGTATCCAGGGTCAGTCTTGTAAAGTCCTCTGTGGGACTGATGACATAGTCGGGGCCGAAACTATGTGTAGCGGTCAGTGACCAATTACGCCTGGCACCGGGTGTATCACCTACCGAGACCATTTTAAAACCAGTTGCGAGCATATATCCTTCATATCGTCGAACATATTCCTAATATTAGCCGTGCCGAACGCAGGCATGAGCAGTCTATCTGTGCCACAATATCAGTGATTGGCAGGAACCCTTGCTCATCGGATAATGGTTGGACATACGCGCTATGGCCCAATTTGGCTCATCTGCATAGGCCTGTTAAGGGGAGAACATGTCACCGACGAGCAAACATACAATCTGTGCACGGGACCTACAGTGAACAGGCCGTCCCCAGCCGCTCGCCTGACTTCGGCGAGGGCTCCTGGGACGTTCTTTTGGAATTTCTTATCGTTAGAAACCTCTCGGACTAACTCGGCAGAATTGACAAAGACGACACTCCTCCCTGTAGTTGATGTAAACGCGTCTGACCCTCATGTCATGGATTGATAGGAAGTGCCTACCGATAATGTTCAACTGGTAAATCTCGCCGTACTGTTTGGCCAGCAGACTGAAGGAGCCCAGAGGGAGCTCCTTGTCAATCGAGAATACATTTCCGAGAAATGGTACAGAGGGCGGCTGCGGTATCGGGACAGACATGAAGTGGGTACGAGCTATCACTCTTCGCTGGTAGTAGTATCCAATAACCAACCCATGCCCGGCCTTTTGTACCTCGTCGGCGTCACGACGATATCAACAGCGAAGCTCCTCCTTAGGGCAGTCCATGGGGGGCCTGCAGAGTTAAAATGTGAAGGGCAGGCGAAAGACCGGTGATAGCGTCTAAATGAGGAAGTCGCGAGGCGGCAGAAAGAAAACTGAGGTTGCGAAGCCGGTCAACATCAGCGCACTCGGGCTGTCCATTGCCGGTGTCCCTCGTCTTACACCCAAGCCATTGCATCAACTGCGACTCGTTGCTGCGTACGGAGGTTTCTTCGTCCATCGGTCATAGTTATGACCGCGCACAGCTCACATTCGTCCATTGGAGACTTAACCGCTGCACACCCGGGATGACGAACACGTCTCTTTCTCCCGAGTCCTCAAGACTCAGATACGTATATAACTAGCTACTGCGTTCACAATGCCTCCCTATTGCGCCGCTGATGCTTTGGGAAAGCTTGGAATCTCGTTCATGTAAAGTCCGCACTTTAGGTGGTCGAGGAGCCCCTCGCCATAGGGACCTACGTGATTGCGGAGGTGCTCATGAACTACCAAGCTATCATCTCTTCATGGGTGCTCCCAGGGCCAACTGATATCTTTCCTGTTGACCCTGTAAGTATCATGGGGTCTGTTGGCGACGGTACTCTCCACTGCGAACCCACTGAGATTTCAGCGCTTCAGCTTTTCTGGGTGCGGCATCTGCCAGTGATGTAAGTCCCGGACGTCAGCCCGACTTCTCTTGTTCAAAGGCGACGAACTTAGATGCGCGGCTTCGCATAAGTTGGACATTTCTTTCCCCCCTTTGTAGGGGAACTCCCTTACCGTGAGTAGGCTCTTAGACTATCGTTGCGGGACGAGACGATCTGTGGTTTCACCTGGAGGAAGGTTGTGGGATGGGCTCGCGCGAGGGGTGCGGAACAACTAGACTGGAATGTTTCTAGTCTGACGTGTCTTCTCCAGCTACTCACAAGCCATCGGATTTACAGAGTGCCCCGGCAGCTTCATGTACGAGCTTGTTCGTCGCTGTCCTAGTTTAGGACATTATCCTATCCTTCAAGGTACTCGCGCATCTCCACTACGCCCTCTGGGAACGTTTATTAAGAGGATGTATTGTCGTGTCGATGGATGATCCAAGTCGTCTAGCAGTCTCATGCAAGAGTGAATGCTCTGTCGAAGAGGGTCTCAGGTGGCTGTCTGCCGTATAAGATTCAGCTGCTGCCGCAGAGCTACGCGTATGATGCTGCCGATGACTCCGCGGTCGACATGGCACGATGCAGATACTCCTCCGGCCAGTCATCTCAACCAATCACAACCCTGGATTCGCATTAGTAATGCAGAATGACTGCGCGAGATTGTGGATAGCCTGATAACTGGCGAAACCATCGGCCATTCAGCATGTCCTCGCTAGCTTTACTTCGTGCTGCATAAAATGACGACGATTTGTTCATGTTCCCTCTCTTGTCAAGCGCACTACGAGCACGACTGCCGGTTTTCCCGAAGAACGTACCGTTCCGGAGGGTTGCTCTACCAATAACCAGGGCATCTGTACTCGTCTCGTCGCAACACCAAGGGCATACACTATGAGCTGCCCGCAGTGCAGAGAAGGCTTCATCCTTCCCGGAGAGCCCGAGGGAGAGATGGTCAAGGTCGGGGCGACCGACGCGTACCTCCACCGCGCGAGTGAACCTACAAGCTCACGCGCAGTGGTACTCCTCACGGATATCTTCGGGCTCCCACTGAAGAACTCCAAGATCCTTGCCGACAAGATATCGACGAGACTAGGTTGCGATGTCTGGGTCCCGGATTTGTTCAATGGTGCGTCTGCGACTCCTGCGAGACTCCGAGGATCCTCTAAATGACCTGGGATAGGCCGTCCACCTCTGGATATCTACGACTTGGAGGGTATCATACCAGAAAAGCCAGGTCAGAAAATAACCTTCATAGCGAGGTTGAAATTCCTGTGGCTCGCCCTCCGCCGAGGCTTGGGTTTCTATAGGTCTCGGCGCGCCGTCGTTGACCCTAGGACAGAGTCCGTGAGTACCATACGTCCATGCAGTTGTGTGGCGATGTTGAGAACACGCGATCATTAGTTCGTCAGGAAGCTGAGGGAGGAGAAGAAGTACGGCAAGATCGGCGCTGTCGGGTAGACATAAGTCTGCGTTGGACCTCCCGCGCTCGCTGACGTTCTCTTTTAGGTACTGTTTCGGGGGCTCTTTGGGCCTTCGTCTCGCGAACAAGGACGTCTTTGACAGTCTAGTGATCTGCCATCCTGGTAAAACTCCTGTGGAATTAGTAAAGCAAATCAAGGTACGTTTGCAGAAAGGCCCGTGCTGCCCCAACAAATTTTCCAATTTAATTAATCACTACAGATTCCAACGTCATGGGCTTGTGCGGAAGGTAGAATGAGCTGTATTTCGATGACTACGATCACAACTCACAAGCTAATCTCAGATGACATGGGATTCAAGACAGATCAGCGCCATGCAGCAGAAGCCACATTAGCTGAACGCAAGGGGAAGCCTGATTTCACCGAATACGAGTTCAAAGACTACAAAGGTGGGTTGCTGTGACCTGTACCAAGCTGCGGATCCGCTTAGCATGTTCTTCAGGAACGGTTCACGGCTTTGCCGCTAGGCCACGCCTGGAGGATCCGGACGCGAAAGCGGGTTTCGAGGGTGCTCTTGAACAGACGGTGGCTTGGTTTGAGAGGACATTATCATAGTTTGTAGGGTAATAGGCGATAGTCGCCGCACGCCTTTCATGTATGTAGGTGCTATGTCGCCCTCGTTATATCTGCACATGACGTCATATATCATGATTGTACTTAGTCTGATAAATGTCTCGGTCTGCTCGAAAGCCAGCCATGTCTGCTTTTACAGTCGACCGTTCTCTCCTCAATCCCAAGTTTGAAGGCTACCGCCTCCATGCCTTGTCTCAAGACTCACACGTCCTCCGATTCCAACTCCCTTCGGACCACAGACCGTCGCAAGCAGCCGTCTCGGGCAGGACATTCCTGTCATTTCAAGAAGTTCAGAGTCGGATCGGCCACAATCATCTGGCCGTGAAAGATGATAGAGCAGTGTACGTCGACGGACAGTCGAATGTTGTTCTGGTTGAACTAGACTCGGTAGGTCTCTCGCTTCGTTCGCGATGTGTAATGATTCTGCAGCCTTGCTCACCGTCTAATCCATTTGTACCATAAGTAGTCCACCTTGCAATCGACACTCCGCACCGTTTACTCCCTGCCTCAGTCTATCCAGACGTCCTCGTCCCCGGACGAGCCCCCACGGGAGTACCCATCCGTAGCATTCTCGTCTACGAGTACATGCTTTGTCTCAGACGGGCATGGCTACCTTTACATCTTGCAGCTCCCGGAGGAGCGAGGGACCGGACGTGTCGAGGTGCTAGGCTTCTACCAACTGGAGATCCCTGATAGATTCCAGTCTTCAATCAGAACAAGCCCGTTTAAGATCCACAGCGCCAGCGAGGTCTCGCCAAATATCATTGTATGCATACTGTCCTCGCGATACCGACCTGTTTCCATCGAGAACGGCGAAGCCGCCCCTTCTGCCTCCACCCTCTTGGAGAGACGGACGCAAGCCCAGTTTGACGTGTGGGCCGTTCGTTTCACTTTCCCTCTTGTACCCACAGATACCGTGCAACCTCTCGACATCATTTGGCACCGGCGGGGAGAAGACGTTCCGATCTTGACGTCTTACGATCAATCCAGACAAGCCTTCCTGCTCCTAGGGAGCTCCTCATACCGCGACGTCCCTGATGAGAAACCCGCAGAAACCCCTGCTGAACCTGAGGCGCAAACAGACGGAGGTGCTGCCGCCCCAGCCTCAACGGACGTCGAAATGGCCGACGGAGATGTGATTGATAAACCTAAGCCCCCACCCTACTCATGGACTCAAACGCCTGACACCGTTTCCCTCGCCTTCCCCCTACCTACCACCACGCCCACCTCGTCTATCAAAGTCTCCTTCTCTCCTCGCTCGCTCTCCGTCCTCGTGCTCCCGACATCTACCTCCCCGCCGTCTATCTCCACGATCCCCCTCCCGCGCTACCCCGCCAAGACGCTCTGGGGTCCGATCAATCCGACGCAGAGCCTCTGGACGTTCGACCGCGAAGCCGACCGCACCGCGGACGGGTTCTGGGGCCTGCTCACCGTGCACCTCGACAAGAAGGACGTCGGCACGCGCTGGCCGCAGGTCTTTGAATCGGGTGAGGACGTGCCCGAGACGATGGACCCGAGCGAGCTTGCGGGCATCCTCGAGTCGCTCGAGAAATTCACGGCGGAGACGTCGAAAGACCAGGCGCAGGGGGGTCTTGGGCGCGGTGTGCCCAGCCTCGCGAAGGACGAGTATGACGAGGAGGTGGATGATAGTGTTGGGCGCGAGGCGGTGCTCACCTGGGTCGATACGCGTGGTAGTGTGCAGGGTGACGCAGAGGCGCGCTATGGCGAACCGGAGTGGTGGGCGCGGAGGGGGAAGGACAAGGAGGAGAGGGTAAGCTTGTTGAGCACGCCGCTACCGGGATCGAGCGGGGAACTTAGCCTCGTCGTGAAAGAGCACCTCGACGGGGCAGTCTTCGAGCTCCCTTCCTCGCCGTCCAACGACGAATGGGCCAAGTGGAGGCATGCCACCACGTTCCCCGCGCTGTCGTTCGTGCTCGCATCCAAGCGGGACACACGATTCACATACCACACAGGCGAGCTCGTTATGGCATTTGAGAGTGGCAGCCAAACGTTTGGCGGGAACGTCTACCTGTACAGGGCGCCTCCAAAGGGTTCAAAGGAGAAAGAAGGCGTACAGAGCGTCTTGAAGGTTGGCGGCGGAGAAGCAGGCGCTGTTCTTGGTGTAGGTGTCCTGACAGTGGGGCAGCGAATGCTTGTATGCTGTCTGTGCGAAGGGGAGATCATCATCCTCATGAATGTCTTCGAGTTGTAAGGTGCAGCTGTCTTCCGATCCGGACTGTCCAATGTCGTGTTCAGAATATTTGTTCACTCCCCTCATGATTGCATCCGATTCGTCTATGAAGAGGTTCCGACGCTAATCCCGTATATACATACACTGGGTAATGCACGTATCGATGTACATGTACAATGGGAAGTGAGTGCAGAGTTCAGACTAGATGGGATATACAGTGGTATGACAAACACCCGCAGAGGAACCACAATGGACATGGTGACCTGATTGCACAAGTGGGATGAAGAGAACACGCATGTTTGCTACAGCTGACAATAGATAACAGTTTCAACCCGCGATACCAACACAGAGGAAGAAGAACAAAAGCACAGAAATTAGGATGGAATAGTAACATAGCTGGAGATATCGCTTATCCCTTGAGCGGGCTCTCGCTGGTATCCATGAGGCCCTCTGTCTTCACCACAGCGCTCGGCTCGTCGCCGGCCGGATGCGTTTCGAATTGGTCAGGTGTCCGCGAGACGGCATCGCCATTAGGCAGGGGCTTCGGAGGTGGGGGTGCTTCGCCCTGCCGCTCTTGCTGTGGGGTAGCATCCTTATCGTCATTCGACGAGTCCATGTCCGCGTCCTCCACCCGACTTTCCTCCGCCTCCGCATCACCGTTCACTTTCGAACCTGCCCCTGCCAAAGTCGAATCCGTGTCAATACCGGAACCTGTGAAACCAACAGCATCGTCACTGAACGGACCATTAGCTTCCAAGTCGTAGTCCTCGTCACCCTGTGGCATCATGAGCTGTTGCCGGAGGTTGCCAATCCCGGGCCCGAAACTTTGACTGAAGAAGGACGAGTTCTGTGATTCGTCATCCGAATTCCCGTCCTCCTCCTCGCTGTCCGTCTCGAACATCAAACCCTCATTTCCCCCGTGGAAAATGGGCGTCAGGCTGATAGCACCGCCGAGACCGTTGGCCATGAGCCGCGAAGCCATGGGCCCCGCGCGACCAGCGCCTTCTCGTGGCCTGTATGGCTGAGAATAGATAGCCTTGACCTCCCTAGGCGTGTCGTACCCATATTTGTTTTCAACGCGGTCTTTGATCCATTCATACCATTGCTCTTTAGTCCGGCCATGTAGGATCGCGACTATCAGCACCGTCATGTTGTCGCAGCCCACTCCCGTGCCCTCAGTCGTGTTGGGAGCAAGGCAATGGTCGCAAAGGAATTCCACAATTTCGGGCAGTTCCTTGCCTTCCGCAACCTTTAGTCGGACGATATCGACGACATCTTGGGAGCTCAAGCAGTCCCAGATACCTGATATACACCAATGAGACGAGGTCCAGCAGCGAAATAGGGTCGCTCCACTGACCGTCACAGGCTAATACAATGAATTCATCTTCCTCCGTTATCTGATGCTCAATAATCTCGGGGTCCGAGGTGATTATTTGCTTCTCGGGGGAGAGTTTGTAGTTCTTCTTGAAGTCAAAGTCACCCAGCGCTCTGGCTAACGCTAGATTGCCTATACTGGACGCCTGAGCTTATGACCTCAGCACGCGTGACGCAAAACTCTCACCATTGACTCTGCCGTATTCAATATATCCGCCTGCTGCAGTTATACGGTCTTTCTCGGCTGCAGAAAGAGCAAGTCAGTCTTGGACCGCATGCAGGTGAGATAGGGTAGCATACTCTGATTCGCGGGTTTGTGATCATAACTCAATTGTTTTGCTTCGCCCTTCACACTGATGACACCTCTTGAATCACCAGCATTCGCCTGATTACATACTAAGTCAGCGGAGGGAAGCCAGATCGACCGGTCACCGCACGCACGGCATATATCTTGTTATCGGCTGTGACAAGGGCTGCCAGGGCCGTTGATCCCGACGGCTCCCGAGTATATGAAGGGTCTAGAGCGACTATTTCAATGCCGCGAAGTGAACGCAAAGGGATGGTACCGACCCGCAAGCATATCCTCATCGGTCCCTAGGAAAGCCCGCTTTAATGCTTCTGGGTAACGTTTTGCCTGATATTCCTCTTGCGATGCTAATCGTTTGTGGACATTGCGTCCAGCATACCGTGCAACATTACTACCTGCGGGGGACCGGAAACTATGTCGGCAACGGAGGACGTGAAGGAACGGCAACAGAGCGTACCACCGTGACCATCGTAAACAGCAAAGAAGGCATTGGGTTCGTCCTTGTCTTCGTCCAAACGCAAAGCGATCGTGTGCGCGTCCTCCATGGCTAATCGCGGCCAAAATGAGAGTAAGTAAAGCGTGCGGATTTTGCGAGGTCACCGTGCAGACATTCGATCGAAGAACTTCAGGCGGGTGTGGGAGGACACAAGACACTTCGCAAAGTAGGAAAAGAACACGAGACAACTCACTTATTCTCCAACCCTGCATCTCAGACACCGCATACATAAACCGGTCATTCCCTCCCGACTCCGTGTTCTTGTCCGTCGCTGTAGCAAAGATCTGAGCACACGAGCGCGCATACAACCACTCGCAGTCGCTTTTTCGCACCTGGAACAGACAATGTTTGACCCTGCAAGCGAGATCAGTACCGCTCCAGACGCCGCAATTTGGCGCACGCGTACCATAGCTGCAAGTAGCGGTGTTGTTAGAAAAAGCCGTGTATCGTCGCAGGTAGGATTAGAGGGGCATATACGAGAGACGGGGACGAGGAGCTATATCCGTGACGAGTGCGTTTGGAGAAAATGGAGCGGGTACAGGGCCAGTCGTGTGGAGGATTGCCCTGTGGAGCTAACGCAGGAGTCACACCGCTCTGGCTCTATTTGCGGTTGTTTTTCCGCGCTCAGTATCAAGCTCAATTGCGGCAGAGTCGCCTACTGCGCAATTCCAAGACTATAGCTGTACGAATACATAGCTTTGAGGGCAGTGGTATGGCTGAGCTCGTAAGCACCGTTGCGAAGAACAGTCCTGCAAGTGAAACGAGAGAAGCGGGCCGTACAGTAAGGGGGCGGCGCAACAGCTTCGAACATTGTCCGCGTCTTGCAAATTGAATTCGAAATTCAGCTACTAAATCCTATCTACTGTAGTCTACTGTGCATTGCAGGCCCCATATTCTCTATATACACCGATCGCGGCACCAGGGACAGTGCGGATATAACGTATGTAGGGAACCATGGTACAAAATGTCCGGCACGGGCTCAGGTCGACGATACGAAGGGAAGTGACCAGGTAGAGCCCCTTCCAACCCTGCTGTGGTACAAGTATACATTGGAAAGATAACTCACCACCTTGTGTTGCCAGACAAGATTCAGTCGGAACCAGTATTGGGCTTTCCGGTACAACCCGTGCTGCATACGCCGAAGGAGGAATGACGCGAAGCTGAGGTCGGCACACAGGAGGAGAGGTATCGAACTTGCCAAACTGGAGGCCGCGGTCGACACCAGGCCAACACGAGCCCAAACAAGACTAGTGGAGACGACTGCCACTGGAGTGCAAGACGGACAGCCGTCAATCGAGCGTGGAGGACACAACTTCATAGACGCTTGGGTCGCGCTCTTTTGATCCACGCTTCAGCTCCCTTGAACGTCAACGAAGTGGTCCAGGCCATAGACATAGCTCTACACGTGGCCAGATAAGGAGAGATCCTGAGTGTGTCGTTGTAGGCGCAGCCAGAATAACAAGCATACTACCTACGAGAAACAGCGGCAACATGATTCCGAGAACCGGCGACAGAGAACGACGTCAAAATGAGGCCGCGAGGCGTGCAGGGTGATCCGCTTGAGAAAGAGCGGGAAGACGCCAGAGCAATGATGATCCATCCAGCCTAACCCGCGCGCAACAAGAGGCCGTCGACGGGTCAAAGGACCATCACCTGCGAGGCAGATTGTACTGGGCCATAGCGCGTGGACGAGTTACTAGGCATCTATGAATTTGGGAAGCGCCCAAAGTTTAATATCAGTTGATCGTGCTTCATCTTATCCCCGCAATCGTCACTATCCTTGACTATGTGAGAGGTTAGGGTGATGATGGCGGTGACGTACATAGACTGCATCTTCTTATACAACCGGCATCCATTATCTCGCATGCTAGTTGGCCCACAGACGGACTCCTAAGAGGTGAAATGAACGAATCGATTCGGGTCCACCGTCTTATCGAAGTAATACCAGTGCAACAAACTGGTGCGCGAAGACTCACCTCTATTCCGACTACAAGACACCTGGCAAGTGGTCTTGTGATAGACATGCGACTCGGATGGCGAGGTTTCATGACCTGGAAGCAAGCTCAATGTCGCCTCTTTGCGTTAGGACATCGTCCAGCGCCGAAATATCAGCGCAATGTCGGAACATTGAGGAGTAAGACATATCAGGTTTGAATGTCGAGCGAAAGCTCTCGAATCCCAGACAGAGAGTACAGTCAGCATGAAAGCGCTATTGGTGTGGCAAGGAAGAGTATCGGTCCGACTTGTTCCTGGGAGTCCTGGTCGCTTTGGGACGATCGGACGCCACCTTTTGCAGGCGGAAGCTGTTTCTCTCGGTGCCTGGCACGGAATACAGCCTCCGGCGACAGCTGCGTCCACAACATATTCGCGATGTATTTCCTTTTATCGACCGATCACAAATTTTTGGAGTATTACTGTCTCTGGCACAGGCGATCCCGGTTCTGCATCATAGGCTGTCGGACACTGTTACTTGGAGAGGATTGCCCAACCTAAGATAGCGGACGGGTGTGAAGCTCACGAACTAGAACTCGGAGAGACGCTGAAAGCTTCCCTTCTGCCGGCACAGCAGGTATACAACACATCGGTCATGCGTCTGATTGCCCTAACCTATCTTTGTGGACAGTACATAAACCCTGCCCTCCACAGAATCCTTTCGACAGCAACATAGCTCTCCGCACGACTACCTTGCTATCCCCGACTCTCCACTATGCGGCATTCCCCCATTGCCTCTCAGGCACGCCTAGCACTGCTCTAACACGCCAAACCTTACTGACTATCATATTTAGGCGCTCACCCCAGTGGTCGTGTGCCCTGCCTTATCGCCCAAGCAATGCGTTGAGAACATACTATCCTGCTTGGACCAACACGACGACCGCGTTATAGACCTGCCGCATCGCTCTTTCGAGATTAGGAAAGCTCTGTCACCTTTGGCAGAGCTGAAACCATCTTCCATACGGCCGCCCTCCCCGCCCTATCCGAGGTCACACGACACCTTGTCCGCGACACTCCTGAACATTGTAAGTTTCGACTTCTGCTCTCTTCACTGGAATGTCGTAGCTGAATGAATTACAGCGTAGGCCACTGCGTTGGTTGACGGAGAGTTATGTAGACGGCGCCATATCGCCCTCTGATCCCGCTATGTCTCTCAATTACAAGACCAAAAATGAAGACGGCGTGCTCTCCCGACTGTTCATGTCCGATCATGCTTCCGCCTGTAATGTATGGCAGCTGGGCGTCCTAGTGGCTAAGGTCCTTCTCGCTATGCTCGAAGAAGATGATAGCGATACGTCAACTCTTGAAGTTGAGATAGAAACATGTATCATGGTCCTGGTAAGCCACAGCTTGCAGAAGGCAGTGCATCATGTACTGACTATACCTTAGCTCTCAATCGCCTTACAACCTCACGTCGCCAACGGGGTCATCACCCGTGTCATCAACCATCCGCCGACGGGCATAGATGAATTAGACCACTTGGTCGACCGTGCTCAGAAAGTACTCATAGCCAAGATGCGCCCGCCTACACCCTCGTCCAGGACGTCCAGTCCCGCCTCCAGACCAAAAGCCATCTCCTCGGCCCCTCCCTCTCCCTACCTCGAACGCTCCCAGTTCATCACGGAGAAAGCGACACGTCCGCGGGGTATGTCCCGCTCCTCCACATGGTCCGCGCCCACCACGAACACCGCGGGCAGCATGATGTCAAAATCCGCCGCCGCCTCCGCCGTCGTCACCTCGGAAGAACTCACCCCTTCGGGATCGTTCGTTCCCACTCGATCCGCGTTCTGCTCGTTGCGGAGCATGACATCCGACTCCCCGCGCCGCCGGGGCCGTTTGCCCTTCAAATGGTTTCAGAGGTCGTCATCGCCCTCACCGCAGAGGTCATCGTCAGTCGAAACGCGGGCTTCCTCCGTCCCGTCATTCAGTCGCACATCATCTCCAGACTCGCTGTCGACTACCGCGACGTCAGTGGCGCCCGATTCGCCCGTGCCCGTCATGCTAAATGTGCCGCAAGCTGAGAAGCAGAGGAAACGCCGCGACTCTGTGTTGAAGGAGGTGGAAGATACCTCGCCGCTGAATACGAGCTGCTGCTGTGCGTCCTGCGGGAAACGGGGCGCGAACTTCCCTAGATGTCCCAGGTGCTCGGAAACATGGTGTTCTAGAGACTGTCGGGTGAGAAGTAGCGGTGGTGCAAAACATGTCTGCGGACGTCCAACACCAGTGTAGACTAGATCTGTATTTTAGATATCAACTGTATTTCTAGGTCAGAGATTTAGGGAAAATATGGGGCATCTATGTCATGACATAGTGATGATTCTCTCAGAATAAGCATCATCTAGTCAATATCTCAACGTAGGCTGATAAGACATTCCCTGCGTGGTGGATGTATGCTGAAGAGGTGCACACATTGCTTCCTATGGAATAACGTCGGGATTAGAAACAGTCACGTTGCTGTTTATACAGACATAAATATCGTTAAGATGCGCGAAGAGATATATAAGGCCGTGTTCAAGCATACTTCCAGAGTAGTAGCGCCGGCGGACGTATAACAAGTTCGACACCATGACCAATGAAATCCTGACTAGAACTTGATCTTTTTGCCCTGAGGCGGAACGATAGTCGCTGGCTGCTTCTCTTTCAGTTTCCTCTTCGCCTCCCAAGACGGGTGCAAAGGGCGCTCTTCCTTCGATACCCGTGGCTGGGGATTGAAATTTGAACTGGAACCGGACTCTGGTTGAGCAGATGCGCCAGATGGCGCCTTATCAGAATTCCGCGGTTGGTAAGATTTGGGTGCAGACTTGACAGCTGATTCAGCATCCCTTCGGCCACCTTTCGAAAATGGTGGCCGTTTGCGTGTGTCGGCCGAACCCGCATGCGACCGTCCTTGCGTCGCTCCCTTTTTGACATGATTGGCGTTCTTCCCATACTTCTTCTCCCAGATACTAAGATGGAATTATGAGCCCTTACGTTAAAGGTGACGAAAAAGTCAAAAGGAGGTACGCACGCCCGCCTTGCCCTCTGACCGCGTCGATTCTTCCGGCCTCCAACTACGGACGCTGCTTCGCCATCACTGTAGTCCGAGTCCGAGTCGCCTCGGATAAATCCAACTGACAGGGAAGGCAAGAATGTCGATTCGCCTTTAGTGCCAGTTGTAATTTGCGGTGCTAGACTACGACTGGGATCGTCGCCGACACGGGAGGAAAGATCGTCATCACTGCCCTCTGAAGTGTCCCCGTGAACAACCCCCGAGTCTTCACTTCCACCGTCATCAAAACCTTCGAGTTCAGGAGACCCGACCTTTGTGTCTAAGTCCGGAGAACTAACATCCTCATCCTGTTCACCATCTGAATCTTCTTCCGCGCTTCTCGCAAGCAGCTGGCCCAATTTCCCGGCAGGCTCGAGTAATTCAGCTTCAGTGTCCTCCTCGGCATTAGCGACGCCGGGTGATTGAGCTTTTGGAGTATCGGGGTGCAGAGTACGCAGAATGCTCTGCACTACCGTAATTGCGGCATTCGCAAGTACTTTTGAGCTCAGAAGCCGTGCCTGCACTTTCGCGAGAGAGCTGCCAGGTTCTGCGGGAGTAAGCAGATTAGACGACAGCTCAGACGCTACGGCTCCTTGAACACGTTCATCAGTCCGCAAGATGCGATTCTTGTTGACTTTGGTTTTCAGGGCTGTGGCAGCCACTTGCTCGTGATTTATGCGCTGATCAAAGGCTGTCGAGGATATGTGCGATTGACAAAGTTGTATCACTCACCTTCACCATTTGCAACTGCTCCTCCAGCTCTGGTATGACCTTAGTGTGATCAGCATTCGTGGAAGATCTACCTTCCAACAATCAGGATGAATATCCGCTTCTGATCGCAAGGGTATGATTGCCCACTTTGCTTGTTTTAACTTCTTCACTAGCTTTTGAGTTTCGTGTATCTTCGAAACCTTCGCAGCTTTCTTGGCTTCTTTGAGACCATGGTGCTTATGGAGTTATTTATTTGTAGCAGTCATGACGTGCCATGTTGAATACCCATACCAGTTTACCTATAATCCGGACTTCCAAGTTCTCCTGTACAGAATCAGTGGCGACGTATGTGGGACCGGCGATTCCATCATACCTCTTCGGTATCAACTCGCTTCCTCTTCAAGCCGCGTTTCTTCAAGTTTTCAGGCATAGCGAAAGCGAGGAACACGCAGATCAAACCTGAAGCAGGTATGCCACCGGTTACTTTCAGCCACCGGTGACTACGGTCGTCTAATTGATAACCGTATTCTAATGTGATCGCCATCAACCTCTTCCTCTCTCAGCCTGCAGTGGTCCTGAATTTGTAGGCGTTCGGTCAGGTTTTAACTAATAACTCAACCGATAGACACTTGGAGACGTTCACTGAACCGTTATTTCCTGGTCGACAAAGTGGACATGGAAGAGGAGCAGCCGGAGGAGAAGTTCTTTGCCTCATTCGAAAAACACGAACAATTTGCTGGTTTACAAGAGTCTCTGTTATCCAAGGATCTATTCGAGAATCCCAATGAGGAGACTGACAGACACGAAACGGAAACTCTACGTTCGCTGTCAGACATAGTACGTACTGAGATCATCGAGCGCAACTGTTATCCAACTGATATCCAAGCTGGACGAATATCAAGAACAATCATACTTGCTGGATCCGATCCTAGAAGGTCTTGTCACTCCCGTAGCAGAGAAATTAAGGGTGCATGCAAGATTGATGGTCTCAAACCCATCGCGAACTTCGTCTATCTCACGAGTCGGTCGCATTGCGACTTTGCTCTACTTATACACCAAATTCCGGGGTTACAAGACGATCAGTCAGTATCGGACTTTCTTACCTGCAAGTCACCGCTCACGTTCAGAGCAGTAAGATTCTTTCCCCATGAGGTCACAGACGTTGTTGTTGCTCTGGAGTACATGAATCTCCCAGGTAGCGGGACACAAGAAGCTGAACAATGGGCATTGCGCTACATCGTCCTTCTCTGGATCTCAATTATCTGCATGATCCCTTTTGACTTGGCTCAGTTCAATGATGGCACGAATGAGGTCTCCTCGCAAATAGAGGATGTTGCGAAGATGCATCTTGCGAAAGCTGGTCTGGAGCGTGATGGTGCTGCCATCCTCCTCTCTCGATTATACATAAGGTAAGAAACTTTGCAATATCCGTGAACTGCTTAGAATTGTCGCAGAAAAGACGTCTCTGGACAGTTCCCGCGATTTCTAAGCGACACTCAGTCTGGAGTTGAAGGGACAGCCGACATTTTCAAGGTTACTATGACGCTCGACTGAACACCATGATATATTCACATAGCCACTTAGTGCATAGGCGCCCTGAAGGTCGTCGCTGAGATTCTCAAGATTGGTTCAGCGGAACAAGCTCGAGATAATGCACCCTCGATATGGAGCCTTTTTAGGGCAATTGAAACTAAGGAAGCACTAATGAATAATACGCTTGTACGCAAGTTGAGATCGAAAGTCCTCTCGCGAACAGCACTACGTCTACTACCGGCGAAATACCAGATCGTCCGTCTCAAAGGTAACGTCCGAATATGCTTCCGCCACTAACGCTGATCGTAGCTACTCCTAGGTCGCTCTCTGCTCGGGACGTCTGACGAGCCCCGATCAGATAATGGAGATGGGGATCCAGACATCCCAGAGGACGTGGAGGCTGCCATCGAGGAGTTGATGCAAGCCCTTCAGGATAAGGTCAGTCGGTACCATACTGTTTTCGCTCCAGCCCTAAAGTGGAATCCAGGACACCGTGGTTCGGTGGTCCGCCGCTAAGGGCGTAGCTAGGATTGCAGAGCGTCTCCCCGCCGAATTTGGGAAGCAAATATTTGACGGTGTACTTGAACTATTTGCTATCCATTCCATGGCTGCGGCCAATCTCTACGACCTGCCAGCCATCGCGGAGTGTACGTGGCATGGGGCTTGTTTGGCTTGTGCGGAAATAGCTAGGAGAGGCCTCGTACCGGATGACAAGCTCACGCAACTAGTTGGTCGCTTATCTCAGGTAAACGCTTTATGCTCGAATCTGTATGAGTTCTGACGTGTATTTCGAAGGCCCTCTCTTTCGACATACGCAAAGGCTCTCATTCTATTGGATCGAATGTCAGAGACGCCGCGACTTATGTGCTTTGGTCACTTGCTCGTGCCCAGAAAGCATCTGCATTGACACCTCTGGCGGAAGGCCTGGCGCAGAAGCTTGTAACGGTATCATTGTACGATAGAGAAGTTCAAGTTCGAAGAGCGGCCAGTGCGGCGTTTCAGGAGTACGTAGGAAGGACGGTTCGTTAGATACCTTTTTCATTAGACGTCATCTGACCTGAATCTGTTAGGGTCTCTTTCCTCATGGAATAGATGTCCTCCGCAAAACAGATTTCTACGCTGTGGGTGTTCGTCGCAATGCATATCTAGTCGCCGCTCCCGAGGTTGCTGAGTGAGTCGTGAAGTCTTACTATTGTTATATTATGCGCTGATCTTTCACGTAAGACATCCCATCTATCGAACATCCTTGATTGACCATATTCTCTCTGTATCCTTAAGACATTGGGATCCTGTGGTAAGACAGCTGAGCTCACAGTCCCTCAAGGCAATATGTGAACTGGATTTGGTAACTTTGGGTCCGTCGACCGCGAGCCGCGCGGTACGTTTCATATGTAGTGAACGTTACTTTAACTCCTGAATCAATGGATACTTCAGTCCAATCTCCTGCGTTCTGTCGACGTCGACCACATCAATGGTGGCTTATTGGCCTTAGCAGAGCTTGCTGCCGCGTATGACAGTATAAGCGCGATACCGGAACGAGACGCCAGGAAGCGAGAGGTGCGCCTTTATAGGTTCGGTCTCGAGTAGAACTCACTGACTGATAATAGGTATTCGCTTACCTGAACCTGGTACCTCTGCATGCCATTCAAGCACCCCGGAACACTCCTGTGACGACTGCAGCCTGCTACCTAATCAGTACAGCGATAACTTCGGGCGAGATTCACGACACCGCGGTACCCCATTGGAAGGAGATTATCGATACTGGCCTTCGACACCGAGACAGCACTGTCCAAGAGCACGCGGCCAATGCTCTAGCATCGGTCAGTCGCTTAGTAGATTGTTCTGTGTCTGTCCAAAGATGAGTGCCGTCGTAGCTATTGCGCGAATGAAAGCTGACGGATATGCGGTGACTACGTACATCAAAGAATTCTCAAGTGGTACGCCAGTCTTGCAGCAGAGTCTGGGCACGCTTCTGGGGGTCCTTGATTATAAGGCGTACCCCCATAATATGCCAGACGTGATCCAGTGTCTCCTTTGTTCGGTGAAGCCTGCGGTGAGTCTCTCATTCAATGTCCGAGGACGTCCCTCTGATGCTATCAGGTAGTCGTCTACCCGATTTATGAATGTCGAGGCTCGTCGAAATGCCTATTCGTCCATGTCGCACATCTTCCGGACGATCGCCTCGGACGTCCCTCAATGTAGGTACAGAACATGCTTTTGGTTCCTGCAGCTCGCTGAACGATACCGAAAGATCTTTCTGCGGGGATTACGAGGGAGATATACTCCGCTCTGAAAGACGGCTTGGACGATTATACTGTTGATCAGCGCGGCGACGTAGGATCATGGATAAGGATGGCGTCCGTCAAAGGGCTAACAGAAGTCTCTTCTCTCCTACTGACCCATGGTGACGCGTTACCCACCCTCGAGGAATATCTTCCGCCAGCGCTCTATCATGAGGCGATAGGCGGCATTTTGAAGCAAGGCGTGGAAAGACTTGACAATGTACGGCAGACAGCAGGAGAGTACTTCATCCAACTTCTGTCGCACCCGTTACCACCGGTTCAGAATGCCGACGCTTGGCGTATTGACGGGGAGGATCTATTCAAGCGGCTCTTTCTTGCGTACGAACACTTAAGGGTCGTATTTGTGGTTGTGCTGATCGCTTCCCTTCAGTGACGAAGAGCGCAGGGACTGGAAAGACAGCACTTGGCTCTTCCCAATGGCAGTGCAAATACTGGGAGTCACGCGGTATCGTAAACAGGTTCTGGCTGGCTTGGTTCTAAGCGTGGGCAGTAAGACGGACAGTACTGTGAGTCCGTTGGCTCCCATTGTTTGTATTTGAATGACCCCTGTGCGATAGCAACGACCTGTATCGCAAAGTCTGGTGAAATATGCCGAGGGCCTCCCCGTCTCAGCTGGAGAAGGCGATCACTATGCTTTGCAAACTTTGGTGGAGGATTTATTGAACCAGATCAAAGCAAACCCCGGGTCCAATAACGCGGTTATCCCCGCCCTTCAGACCCTTACTGTGCTTCTTGAGGCCGAAACATTGGCGAGACTGCAGGATGTGCCGGACGGCTTAGATACGTGAGTGTGTTCAACAGTGGATGTAGAGAAAGACTCAACGGAGATCACAGGTTACGGGAACTCTTATCGTTTGTGTCTAGGAACATTTCGCGCTTGAAGAATGTACAGCGAATCCAAGTGTCTATGAAGATGTAAGAGGCAGTTGTCATATTTCATGCCTTCGCCTAAAGTTAGTTGGTAGTGTCATGAACCTTCTTTCTACCGAACCTCTTTTCAAGCCATGCATATCGGTACTTCCAGAATTTCTCGCTCACAGATTCCCTAAAGTAGGTTTTCCATTTCTTTGTCCCGGGTAACCTCTCAGCCAGTACTCAGATTCGATCAGATACTGCGGAATACCTGTACATGGCATTGCAGAGCCAAGATTTCACCTTCGACACGGAAGCGGCGGAGGAACTCCTGTTGGAGACGGAATGGTAAGTAGGAGGGATACAGGTTATCGGCTGCGTCTGATCATCTGTACAGGGCATCGAATGATCTTGAAACGGTCTCAGCTGCAGCCAACAGACTGGTGGGGATTCTTAGAGGATCGTGAGTGCAGCAGCTTGATATCAAAATGTAATTTAGCATGTATTCTCTACACCGTTCCCGCTACAATCAGCAGGAGAGGCAGGATTGTAAGCGTGGGAACGTTTGAATAGGAGTCCATCTACCCTGCCAACTACATACATCATCGTAATTCTGCCAGACTCAAGGGCTCAGTGCGCCGCCAGAGTCTGCTGCCCTTGCTGGTCTTCACCATTTCTCTATAGCTTCAACCTTCACACCGTGTCGGCATGGCGGACGCAAGACTGAGCGACAGTGAGATGGCTGCTCTGAATGCAGCAGCTGTCACCCGAGAATACCGCGTACAACCTCATCTTGGTGAGAAATCCTGTTACTGTATGCATTCACCTTTCCCCATACCGCCTCGTAGACTACCGCACTGTCTCTGCGATCAACGGGTACGTCCTCAGTATCACGTACGCTTAGCCGTGCTAATCGGGGCTACTTCAGACCACTCGTAGTGCTGGATAATGTCAAGGTGAGTAGCTTACCCTTGCTATCAGGGACAACAGCTATACAACATTCCGCAGTTCCCCGCCTATAACGAGATCGTTACACTTACTCTCCCGGATGGATCGAGACGCGGTGGCCAAGTGCTGGAAGTGCAGGGAAACAAGGCAATCGTGCAGGTGTTCGAGGGGACCTCGGGAGTAGACGTGAAGGCAACACACGTTGAGTTCACGGGAAGTAGTATGAAGCTACCCGTGGCGGAGGACATGTTGGGTCGGATATTCAACGGTTCAGGGAAACCGATTGATCAGGGTCCCAAAGTCTTTGCGGAAGACTACCTCGATATTAACGGTATGCGTGCATGGTGTTCATCGGGATGATGTACTAATGCTACTCTAGGTTCTCCCATCAACCCATTCTCTCGTATATACCCGGAGGAAATGATTCAGACAGGTATTTCCACGATTGACACCATGAACTCCATCGCCCGTGGTCAGAAGATCCCTATCTTCTCGGCCGCCGGTCTACCGCACAATGAGGTGCATGGCAAGGATTCTCTCCGAGTCTATTCTATGCTAACTCCTATGTTCCAGATTGCCGCTCAGATCGTGCGGCAAGCAGGTCTAGTCAAGCGACCTACGAAGGACGTTCATGACGGACACGAGGAGAACTTCTCGATTGTCTTCGCTGCTATGGGTGTTAACATGGAGACGGCTCGGTTCTTCAAGCAGGATTTCGAAGAAAACGGCAGTCTGGACCGCGTAACACTGTTCTTGAACTTGGCCAATGATCCCACGATCGAGCGTATCATTACGCCTCGTCTCGCCCTCACAACTGCGGAGTACTACGCATATCAACTGGAGAAACACGTTTTGGTCATCTTAACTGATATGTCCTCGTACGCAGACGCTTTGCGAGAAGTGCGTGCCGCAACTCTAACTGTGCTTGCGACATGCTCACATTTTGCAGGTGTCCGCTGCGCGTGAAGAGGTACCTGGTCGTCGTGGTTATCCTGGTTACATGTACACGGATTTGTCGACCATCTATGAACGTGCCGGGCGAGTAGAGGGTCGTAACGGCTCCATCACCCAGATTCCCATTCTTACAATGCCCAATGATGGTGAGCTTTATCGTTTAGTGTCTGGACAGCGGTGCTGATATTGGGATCAGACATAACTCACCCCATCCCGGATCTTACGGGTTATATCACGGAGGGCCAGATATTCGTCGATCGTCAACTGCACAATAGGCAGATCTACCCGCCGATCAACGTGTTGCCGTCTCTGTCTCGTCTCATGAAGAGTGCCATTGGCGAGAAGCTAACAAGAAAGGACCACGGAGACGTTTCCAACCAGCTTGTGAGTCTAATGCCCGTATTTACCGGACAATGGTTGAGGGTAGCCTCTCAGTATGCCAAATATGCTATTGGACGTGACGCCGCTGCCATGAAAGCTGTGGTTGGTGAAGAAGCCCTGTCACCCGAAGACAAGTTGGCATTGGAATTCTTAGACAAATTTGAGCGGCAGTTCGTCGGCCAAGGTGATTAGCTGCCTATTGCCCCATAGTGTGGTCTGCTAACCTCGTCTCTCAGGTCAATACGAGGCAAGAACTATCTTTGAATCCTTGGACCTTGCATGGTCGTTGTTGCGGATCTTCCCGAAGGAGCAACTTAACCGTATCAACCCCAAGATCATCGCAGAGTTCTACGCCCGGAAACCTACAAAGAAGGCGACCTCAGACGAGGGAGAGGAGACAAAGCAGGACGAGAAACTCGTTGATGTTGCGTAGTTACGATCCAGTTATGATAATAATACGGATTCTACTTGTTCATCACGCCTATCATACCAGCGAGAACGACGTATCTGTGTTTCGAAAAATTCCGGCTGCTGTCTGTATGGCTGTTTGCAGGGGACAATTGTGAGAAGTTTAATTTCGGGTGAGATACGAGCCTGGCCTCTCCGAGATCCACACGAGAATTTTCTGGGCGCAGAGTCGCGACTCTGCATGAGATGCCTCCGAGTACGTCCGACGGGGAAGGTGTACGCACTTCAAGAATGGACACGCAAGCCCATACACTTTTGAGTTTAATCCTGCAGCCACTAGTGTCCCCACCTACTGTGCGACAGTGCTATTCGTGAATATGCTGCGGCATTTTTGAGTCCTATGACGTGCCTGCTGAGAGTAGCGCTAGTCTGCTTATATGACATGTCCTGGGATAAGGCGTGGGGTGAGTTCCGAAGAAACAGGATCTCAGCGAGCGGCTCAACGCATGAAGCGCTCTGATCTATTGAATCTTTATCGATGATATACAATGTCCTAAAGCTGCACCGGAAACGGAATATCAGGCAGGTTTGGGGCGGGTACTCACAGAAGATGGTCATTTATGGCAGGTCGTGGCCGGAGAATGAACGGGGCTGTCTGAAGGATCAGCGCCGCTCAGGAGAGAAGGGAAGGGGGCAGGCCAGGCTCCGAGAGTGTACGCAGGAGGACAAAGGACTTTGTAGTAAAACATGCACTGGGCAGACGACCGGCGTGGATTAGGCAGGAGGGGGCGCTTCGAGAGGCCAGGAAGCCGACCTCGTCTTATAGTCATGGAGCACAAGATGAGATAAGAGCAGGGATGCGTCTCCAATGGCAAGAGCGGCAAACAGCAGGTAGCCTCGAGGCGCTGCACCCAGACGCCGTGAGTATGTCATTTACAATGTGATGCGATTGCGGACGGAAAGGGCGAAGGTTCAGGCAAGAAACGACCACGGGTGGTGGGTTCCTTACGATATCCGTGGCACTGATACCGATGTTATCAAACGAGGCCGTAAAGGGCCACATTTATAGAAGGCGAGAGAGAGGAGACCACTTGATGGTGCGTCGTGAGCGCAGCTGTTGCAGATGGGCTCCTGTGTCTGGTGTCGCCCGCTGCGGCGCGCAGGCGACAGATAGAGAGACAGGAGAGCAGCTGTGGCAGACGTGATGGAGTCGAGAATAATTAGTCGTGCGCCCGAGGGGCAGTATAGAAGCTTCCATAACGGGGATTTGGAGGCCGGCTATCGCATTTCAGAACGGGAAAGTTCGATGAAACCCGGTGCGTACGAGGTGAGTTTTACCGCGGTGTCAGCTCGGCAAAACGATGGGGCAGGTGCAGAGGACCGCATGCGTTGGCGGTTGGTAGGACGGAGGGGACTGCGACGGACATGTGAAGGTGGCATGTATGACGGGAAAATCAGAGCGAGAATGTATGTAATAATACGGCGTTGCAGCCTGCTCTATCTGGTCCTTCCAACGCCGAACCAGGTGGCCGCTCGGTGCCATGCCCCAGCTTAGCACGGATGCACTGCTTCCATGTGTTTGACCTGACCCCTCATACATATCCCCTCCTATGCCTCTCCGACGCCTTTTCTCCTGAATCTCCCCCTCGTCCCCGCCGTCATGGACGACCTCGCCGCCCACCAGCCCCTCAGCTCCTTCGCCCGCAAGCGCAAGGCGACCGCCGACGACTGCCAGGCCCAGGACCCCTCCGCGTCGCCCTCGTCCGCCTCAGACCCCTCCACGTCGCAGCCCATGCTCGTGGACGCCTGCTCGGGCTCTCCGAGGATGGGTCTTGCTGCAGCAGCCTGTCAGACGTGGTACGACGAAAGTAAGAGTCCAATATCGATGTGGTCCGCCTCCCCACCCCCGCCACCCGTTCCTCATTACGAGGACCAGCAAACCGACGGTCATTCGAGACAAAAACGCCCTCGCCTCGAGATCCGCACCTCTCCGCCCGCTTCGCCCTCCAAGCGTTCTGCGAGGAAACGTATTTCAGCGAGAAATCCCCCCACACCGCAGCGTATGTTTTCGCGACGCAGACGAATGGGCGACATCCAAGACATGGGCATCACACCTACGTCCAGCCCCGGTCCAGCCAAAGGGTCCTTGTTGCGTCGAGGGTGCTCCCCGTCTCCTGATACCGCCAGACCACGCCTCTCCTATCTTACAATAGACCCAAATTCCCCGCACGTCCCGTCTCCCTTCCCTTTAGTTACCAGAGAGACGCTGAAAGAGCTGGACCTCGAGGCTATCCTGCGCAATCCCCAGCTAAGTCCGTCGCTCTATTCATTCGCTCGCCCCATGGACACGGTTCTGACGTATTTATATCTGCGCCATAGGACACGACTTGCTGTTTGACCCTGGTCTCCAGTTTAGACCCACTTCCGGTCGCCGGAAACGAGAGCTGTACGACAGCTATTGGCGTGCGGTCCTTCGAGAACTGGAGACCGGCTGCACGTGCGTGTCGTTCGACCTCGAGGGTGGGCCGCACGAGCGGGTATGTATATGCAACGGCCTGCCTTTACCTCCGTCTTCTCCCAATTGGCTGGTGTGGATACATGCGCAAGACGTCGTTACCATGCGTATGCCCTCGCGAATCCGTCCTCTTCTTGCCGAACTCCTCGAAGTCATCATTTCAGTCATCCAGCCGTCTCTCCACTCTGGGTCTCCAAATAGCCTCGACGTCACCTCTTCTATCACCACTCATGTCCGCCAGCACCCGTCCCAGATTGAGAGTCTCAAACAGGTCTTCGACCTGGATCTGATCGAGCAGGAGTTGCAGCATAACGTTTTCGATCCGTCTGGTTTGTTTCGAGTTATAGGCGACCTGCTAAAGTGCCATTGCGCACCCATGCGGGACCGCGCCGTGGAGGCGATGGTCGCTGCCGCGCAGTCCTGCGCTCCAGGCGGAGGCGGCACTAAAGCGGACGCGGTGAAAGCTATTCGTATGTGCTTCGAAGTATTGGAGCTCATGAAATTGGTGAGTCCCCTCCGTCTATGGCATGATTAGCGTATATACTGACTCACTGTATGCGTTTGCAGGACATAGCTAACCACCAGCTGCAAGCGTTGCGACCTTTCCTGATCCAGACATCCGCCAGTTACGAGCTCAAAGCGTTCCATGAAAGCCAAGGCTCCGGCGAATCCTCAGTGCGCGTCACGCGCGAGTGGTTGCAGGCGGCCCACCATGCCCTCGTCACTTCCCGCGACTCCTTTATGAATCACGAGATCCATGCGCGTATGAACTATCGCAACCTACGCAGAGGCGATCAAATCCACTTCTTAACTCTCAGGGCGTTGACAGACATCGTGTTTGTCCCGCCAGTCCCTGCTCCGTTATCCCCGACGGCGGAATCCGCGGTTACCCCTACCTTGCCTTCTCCTCGTACCAGCGCCGCCTCGATATCAGGATATCCCGAGACGCTTTACCTCGATCACTCTCGCCTGCACGTTCTCAGCAAAGACGCCGCGGACCTTACTGCCTTGTATATGCTGTTGATGCTGTACCGCCAATTGGTGCACTCAGATAGCGGAGCCCGGACGAAGGCCGCAAAGCTCGATGACGCTGACCTTGTGAAGATCAAGCGCGAAATCTGGGACATCGGCCCCCATCGGATCGGCTACTGCTTCTCGCGCGAATGGCACGACAGGGGGAAGCCTTCCGCGTCTTCCGGTGCGAAAGGCAAGGAGCGCGCCGTCGAGGGGCAGGACGCGGACTGGGTGAAATGGCACTCGTGCATGCGGGACGTCATCCTGCAGGTTGCCATGCGTGCGACAGCCGCGCGGAACCCGGGCTCATCGCCCAGCGCCCCCGACGAGCACCTGCTACGGCTCGCTGAGCGGTGGGCCGACTCCAATCTGAAGCCTGACTCTCGACTGGGCGAACTTCTGCGTGACCGGGTGCGTAACGCCGTGATGGACGTCGTCATCGCGCAGGCGGGCTTGCCATTCCAGCGGCCGAATGCGAACCGGACTCAGAAAGCGGGTGATACCGTGCCAGAGACGGTGCTCTCCGGGGCCGGTTTGGAGCCTCTGGCGACCGAAGTGCGACATCTTGGGGAAAGACTGGGAAAGCTAGCTGTCATTCACCTGAACACCTACCTTCCGCTCTACGAGCAGGAGGGATTCCTGGACCTCAGCTCATAGCGAGTGTTCGTCCGTATATCCGACTATCTTATAATTTTGCTGTGCCATTTTGCGTCGTTGTGCCGCTCCCCCACATTCCTTCTTCACGTTGGGACTTGTTATCACGTTTGAACCATTTCACGATTGGCCCTTCAACGACTCTTCTTTGTGCATCGTTCGTAGCAGTAGTAATATTGGAACTAATGCAATGAAACGCGTCGTAACTGCCACCGTCGCGCTGTTCTGTGGGAGGTATCATGACTGCATTCCCATTGAGCCAAGTATAGTCAGGGGGCTATGGTATAATATAATTTTAGACCTCCGCGGTTTGCCGCGGCAGCGGAACAAGCTGGATGGCCTGCGGTAAGCCATTGGACAGATCCTTCTTCTCCTTGTACCGTCTGCTGGCAGCATCCTCGGTAGCCAGCTTCCACAGCTTACCAGCGCTGCAGTGGTGCTTGGGACGGCGTGGTTACCAAACAATTCTGGCTGAACCGACAAAATGTCTACAACTACGGCGCTCTCGTCCGTTGCATCATCCTCTGTGTCCATTACCGCCAGTGGGACAACCTCCAGTGTTCCAACTACCACTGATGCAACCGGTGGGGATGGGGGGCGCAGCGACACCTCTTCTTCCTTGTATCTGTACGTGCCTCGATGCCAGTTTTGAGCAATTCAGTCATACTTCACTCAGATTCACATTCCTCGCGACTCTGTTCCTTCTATTGTTTGTGTCATGCGCGATAGTGCTGCGCTCGTTTATCCTGCGCCGTCGTTTTCGACGGAGCATGGAAGAGGCTATTGCCGCGGGCATCTTATTCACTGGACCGCAGACGGATTACCGTAAGCGAAATATCGGAGAGAAGCCAGTTATGTGGGATGTGTCTGTTGCACCCTCGGGGTGGACATGGGATGACATGAAGGTAAGTTCCTTGTTGTCTTCGAAGGATTTTCTTGAATGGCTGATCATTGTACGTTGTGCGTTCTTAGCCAGTAGCGGCGAGGTCTTTATCGAACGTTTCGCCGCTACCGCCCGACTCCGCCCCATCTGATGTTCCTAATAATAATGAAATCTCCCCGACACGATCAGCTGCTGTGTTTAATAGAGCTCTCCGACCGTTCCTTCGTCGAAATTCGTCGGCAGCTACGTTCCCCGCGCCAAGTTCCCCTACCCAACCTGCCTCACCCCGATCACCCACAGGTGTGGAGCCTGCTAGCCCAAATCCCACCGCACAAACATCCCAAGTGCAGGTATCAGTCCTCATCCAAATGCCTTCACCTCACCGTTCACACGCTAGTTCCTCGACTGCTAAGGGGAAGGAGCGAAGTAGCACGGGCGGAGACTGGGATGACGAGGAGTTCCCAGACGTTGTCATCGGCGTGGCTGAAGAGCCTTGCAGGGGGCAGCTGGAGCAGTGAGCGACGTTTCACCCGCCTTGGGAGTCGGGTTTTAGAGTATCCCGCATGTTAATCGATTGGACATCGGACTCATGCATCATGATTGAAACGTCTGTAATGTTTTGATACTAGTGTATCGGATGTTCAGCATGCAACTGTTGTATACTAGATTGTGCTATTATATCTCTATAGCTTATAGCTTTCTGCTCCCATGCCCCCGGACCTCTGTTGCAGCATCGACCCTTCGACGCATAGCGTGCTCGCATTGTTGCGCAGACGGATATATCCACAAAAACTAGTCTATACCTATGTCGAACTCATCCAGATCACCGGGTTCCATGTCCTCGCCAAGTTCGATCACAGACATGGTCTCATCGTCCGACCCCTCGAACAACTCGAAGGCCTCCACATTGGACGTGATCCACTCTTCGTCGGAGTCGTTCACCGGGTCGACCTCGTTCATACACACTCGCTTGATGGGAACGCCCGCTTTCCTTCGCGCCTCGATGAAAGCGCGCATCTGCTCCCCATCTACGCCGGTAGTGGTGATGGTGTCGAGCAGCGGGCAATACATGGGTGTATTAGACGCAGCCGCTGAATCGAAGAGGAGCGGCGTGTCCCTCGGATTCTCCTCATTGACCGCGATGGGGTGCCCGAGCTTCTCGAACAGGACGGGGTCGGTGTGGTCGACGTTGATGTTCAGCACGCGGAGGTTGGTGAGCGCGCCGAGCAAGTCGTTCATGACCGGGCGTTCGCAGACGAGGCCGCCGATCTTGAGCTGCAGGAGGTTGTTGAGCAACGATTTCTTCTCTCCGGGACGCGGTTCGACTAGCTGGCTGATGAGGGGTGTCTGGTCACCGTCCATGGTGTCGAAGTCGAGCGTGAGGTGTCTGAGATTGGGAACGGTGAGCATTTTCATGATGCCGCAGACATATGGCGTCGGGTGGAACGCGAGGACAAGGTCGGTGAGGGAGGGTAGGGTGATGGAATGGATGTGTCTTCCGTCGTCGTCGACCCAGTCGGATAGCTCGCCCTTCGGTCCCGACGCGCTTAATGTCAGGATCTTGAGCTCAGGGGACTCGGTCAGCATACGTGCCCAGTCCTCTAAGCTGGGACGGACGTCGTGCGTGTGATATGCCAGTTCCAGGTCTACCAGGCCCGACAGGAAGGTCGTATCAGACCATCTCAAGTGAACGCCCCACAGAGCCACGGTGTGCAATTTGGGGGCATTATTATTGAACAGAACGAAGGGCGTCGCGCAATCCTTGGGGTTGAAGGTCATATGATCGGTGACTTCGTCCCAGTCGTCGTAGTGATATAGCTGCATCCCTTCCAGCATGGGTGCGGAGGGGCATTTTGATAGCTCCGAGAGGGTCAGGTACATGAATTTGTAGTCGTGAACCATAAGTTCAAAAGATCTCCAGTGTTCCACATGTGGGATGATGATGGAAAGCGCGGTGGACAGATCTTCGAGTGTCATGGATTTGTACTCGTCTTCATCTGTCGAATAATCATGTTCCTCCCCAGGCAATGGAGAGGCTGGTCGAATAGACTCCTGGCAGTCGATAGCAATATCGAGCGGTGCACCTTTCGACCGCTCCACCCAAGCTCTGGATTTCTCGAACGGCGGGCCTTCCGTAAAATCGATCGATGTCCATAGGTTCGGCGTCTCCAATGCTACTTCCCGCCAACGTCTGCACACATGTGAGACTAGCACCTGAAACTCTGGTCCTCCCTCCTCCTCCTCATCTGAATCCTCCGAATCGGAAGCAGAGTCGTAGTCGGAGTCGACATAGTCGTCATCCATTTGCCAATCCGCAGAGTTCTCTTCAGCCTCCATCCTCGCGCCAACGGTAAATATGTAGGCCAGCAGTTCCGGAGGGAGCCGATTTATGGGGCATCCGGAAGTCGGCGGGATGTAGGGATTGGGTACACGCTCATTGCGAGCAGCTTTTTCCTTCATGTGTTCGGCCAAGTCGTATCTCTTCATCTGAATGTCTTCAGACGCCCCTTCTTCTACGATTGAGGTGTTTCCAGACATCTTGCCGGGTATAAAGGCAGAGGACACGAAGGTAAGAGCAGAAAGGAGGCTCTGCATTATTTTCTTTCCTCAGAACGCGCTCACACATGGCGTCACGTGGGTACCGTGACCAGTGTCACCTTCGATCGAGTCGGACAAGCTGTCGGACGTGTTGCATTCTGCCACCGCTCTGCTTGGCATGGCCACGGCTGGAATAACGGGACCCTTCGTTGGGTCTGAAGACAAACTGCACTCTAAGCTTCTCAACCTGCCTGGAGACCTCGTCGACTACATCTTGGACTATGCTCGTCCTCGCGATGTGGCCCGGTTATGTCGCGTCGCGAAGGGCCTGCATGCCTTTGCACACAGGGCTTTGTATCGCGATGTGTTTATGACTACCCCGGCACGCATGGTGAAATGCTGCGAGACTCTTGCAGCCAACCCTTCTGCCGCACGCGAGGTAAGGACTGTGTCAATACGATTCCGGTGTGTCCTTAACCTTCGCATTCCGTTCATCAACTGAAAAGACACACCAGATCTAGTCGAAGCAGAGACTCCGGTCTTGGTGATTCGTACGGGGTGGTTGAAGCGGCATTCCTGTCTCTACCGGACGTGCTCGCGCTAGAAATCATAGTGACCACGCAGGACTTCGTCCACATCCTAGCTAAATGCAGATGGCCCAGGCTTCGCCGATTCCAGTCCTTTCTTCCAACCCTACCAGAACTGCTGACTTTCATGGCCCACCACCCTACCCTCCGCAGCGTCTTCTTCTCCTTCCAGTGCAACCCCGCAACTCTGTCTCCCATCCTCTTACCCAACGCCGAGAAATTCATCGGCCCCAGTCAGCTCGTGCCGCTTGTTATCCCGGGCTCAAGGACGAACGAGGTGAACTTGGTCTCGCAGCCCACCCACTCGCAGCTCGAGTCTGCCCTCATAGCGATGCAGCAGTCTACGGCTACCGTGACGAGTTTCAGTTTGCTCGTGCAAGACTGGGACGTTGATCATCTCACGTTGATCTCCAAGTATCTCCCTGAGCTCGAGACTCTGGATATACGCAATTCTTGGGCGCGCACAGGGCCTGACAATCCTTCGTCTCGCACGGTGCGTGTCTGCGGGTCGCGTTGCAGGGCTGAGGGCATGGCTGATATCATTCTCTCAGATATTCTTGTGTACATTGTCCCCGTTCTTGAAAGACTTTACCAAGCTCGAGTCCCTCAAGCTCGTGTCAGACGACGACATCGGAGAAGACATCAGCCTCGCCATGGCACTCCTGGATATCGAGGCAGTCATTGTCGGTGGCTTCGGCCTCGCCTGCCCGACATTATCCACCTGCACTATGACAAGTAAGCTATCCATCGCAGACCTACCGGTGACGAGCCCCTGCTGACCATGATACGATAGGCGGCGTTACTTGGTTCAAGCTGCAGTCCTGCCTGTGGATACCCCGGAACGACCGCCCCATAGGGCGCGCGTGGGTGCGCTACCTGCTGGAAACCGGCCTCCACCCCATCGTCAAGTCCCTTGACAAGGAAAGCGCCGAGCTGATGATAACATCCATACGGAACGTGCTGCAGAGCAACCCGGAGTGGTATGGCGAGGACGAAGACGCAGTCGATTCCGATGAAGAGAGCGATCCTGATGACGGCTATGGGTTCATTTCCGACCACGACGGCCTGGATGATGGAGAGGAGGCATTGCTGGAAATTTAGTGCTGCGTGGTTATCACAGTTTCCAGTCGGGAGTGATATACCAACGGATTGCGGTTCCTCTCTTCGAGTTCGCTGCACACATTGCTTAGATTGACTATTGAAATCCTTACCTGAGTCTGTGCCCCCTGTAGTAGATACCCAGTATCCTATTGTATACCACATACCACCAACATATCACCCTCGAGTAATGATTGATAAGAGCCAAGTGCCTCTCTGGGCATAATGCTTGCTACCACTCTTTCACTACAGATACATTGATGTTAACCAAGATCATACAAATACAACAAGAAAGCTATGGATACAACAACATCATAGAATATTGAATAAATACGAGAGCAACGGCCAGGCAACCGGTGCCTGCCCTGTCAAACCAAGAAAATATGGCCACCCCACCTAATCTACTGCGAGAAAGCGACAAAGGCATTATAGTTGTACGACGCCGGGCTCCCGTTGAACTGGAACCCGTCAGGCTGGAGCGTCACCACGTCCTGGCCGTTCCGGGAGATCACGCCCTTCATCGTCCCGCCGGCCGTGATGGGCATCGACAGCTTCGACAACCCAGCCGGGACGTTGAACGTCTGCGAGCTGGTGGCGGACGTGCTGAGCGTTACGGTGGCGGGCGCGGTGGTCATCACGACTGCCCAGAGCTGGTCCTGGGTCTATCGTCCACGATTAGAGATCGCAGTCACAGGATCAAAGAACAGGACATCACGCACGAGCTCGAAATTGGACGGCTTCCCGACAGGGTCATTAGCGTCCGCGTCGCGCGGGTGCGTCCGCGACCACAGATAAATCTTGTCCTTCGTGATCGCGGGGTAGCTCCCCGTCTTGTACGCCGTAGCAAAGTAGGACGTCATGTCCAGCCAGCCGGTGTGGTTGAGCCCGTCGACCCACGCCTGGCTGTTCGGCTGCGCGCCCTCGATCGGGCCGATGTAGTGGCTCTCGCCGTAGTCGTTCCACGTCACGACCTCGACGAGGTCGATCTTGTCGCGCGCCGCGACGAGGTTCGCCCAGCGTGTTGGGTAGAGGTGCGAGTCGGCGAGGTAGATGAACTGTATAAATGGACGCTAATTAGCTCGAGCACTGGGGGGATAGGAGAGAGATGCCTACGTTTTTGTTGAACGTCTGCGGGCTGTAGTGCGTGAAGAACCAGGGCGAGACGGCGGCCATGTACGCGCGCTTGCCGCCGTTACTTGGCATGGCAGCCAGGGCGTCGATGTGCTGCGTGTCGGTATCGGTGGACCCGATGAACTTGGCGAGGGCGTTTGTGACCGTCTGCGACAGGGACTGGAGAGTCGCGCCCAGGCCAGAAACGACGCTCTGCGCCGAGGCCGTCGTGAGGGTGATTGGCCAGCCCGAGTTGAACTGCAATATTCGGTTTCGTTCAGTCTTAGCAGAATGCGACAAAGGTTAGACAGGTACATACGTTGAAGTCCCCGTCCATGACGCCGTTGAACGTCCCGAATGTACTCGGGTCGACGAAGAAGCTCGGGGCGAAGTATACCGCGTTCGCGCCAGTCAGGTCCGGGTGCTGGGTGAACTGCGAGGACCAGCCCTGCGCCACGGAGCCCTGCCCGAACTTGCAAGACTCCCCGGCGAACGTCGATGCGAAGACTTTGCCGTCGTATTTGAGCTGGTTAGGGTGGGACGAGTACGTCGTGATATATGTCCGGAGCGTATTGGCGTTATCTGCGGTGGTGCAAGGTAATGCGCTTGATGGAGGTGTGAGGACTAGGGTCGAAGGGGAGGGAGTGGCAACGTACCTCATATCGAAGGACAGGAACAACTTAAAGTCCGGACCAAACTTCTGCGCTGCAGTATACGCATCCGCTACCCTCTGGGGCTGCCATTCGTCCGAGCCTACATTGAGGGCGAAGCCGTCTATGCCCGCCGAGTGGGCAAGGGCGATGTCGGCAGACCAGTTGTCCGCGGTGTACGGGAAGGTGTTCCCAACCATGTGGTGGGCTACGACATATTTGGGGTTCGAGGTTGAGTTGGACTGTCGTGCGGAAATGGTGGATTGTGCGATCGTGTCAGCGCCGGGCTGGAGACGTGCGATGGGGCGGGCGTAAGCAAGCGCAAGGAGCGACAAGAAAGTGAAAGACAAGAAGTGCATTTTAAAAACGAGAGTAATGAAAGAGCGTAAAGAGGGCGCGCCTCAGGCGGTAGGCCAAGAATTGTAAAGTTAAACAAGGGCGCCCGCACAGCGAGCTTATATACAGGAAAAGGCAACAATCAGAGGACGCAAAGCTTGCCTTGTGCAGGTGTCAGAGAGGAGCTGCGATGCCGGCAGCGTTGAGATACAATGGCGGGTTGTGCGGCGCAGAATAGCTGATGAATTGCAGAGGCACCCGTTATTGTCCACAATTGGGGCGCGTAGGGGCGGCCCGCCTCACCTCGATCGAGAGCTATAATTAGCGCGAGTATCTCACCACGCCGGTGACCGCTGCTGCTCTTTACATTAATCCATGTTCAATAAGAATAAGCCTAAAATCTCTCCACATAAATTTGCAGTAGCGTAGTAAGTATATAGTAAGTATACAGTGCCTCCTACTGTTAGTTCCCCTGAGGTTGTCTCAACCCCATCGTGATCACGGCAGAAGACCAGATTCATAGGGCAACCTATCCCACTGTTCAATGGTCATTGGGAAGGGCACCACGGTCGATGGTCCGGGTACCATAGAAATCGTCGTGGGCTCGTCAGGAGGGGCATCCAGGGCACGGCAATAGTGCAGGTCCTGCACAGGATACGAGAGGCTATGGCTGCAAAAAGCTCAATATATCGTTGGAACTTGCAGTGCAGTGTTCCACCCACCTGGTCTTCATGTGTTGCTTGATGTCTTGCAACGTGCATCTGTCCGTCTCCTGGGTCGTGTCTCGGCAGAAGTCACATTGCCATACCGGGTTCATCTTCTCGTAAGGGCTAATGGGCTTGGAGTAGTACCCCGCCTCGATGTCCTTCGCCTTCTTTACGTCCTCGTCGGTGAGCCGCTCGTACTGGATGCGCAAGTCACCCCAGTGCTTCTTCAAGCAGTGCGCAACCTGGCCAAAATACCATCAACAATCACAAGAACGCCCAAACGTTGACTAGACTTACCATGTTCCTCCAACATCGGACCTGCACCCGTCTTTCTCCGTCACACCTGTGGCCGTAGGTGCACTTGAGGCATACCAACCTCGGGTCCTCCTTGTCAAGCTCAGCGACCGTGGTCGTCCGGGGATCCATACCGCAGGCCACCAGTATATTGACAACGACCTTCGAGGCCTTCTCATCGAACACCAATTTCTTGCAAGACCAGGTCTGTCGCTTCGCGCCACAGGTATACCCGTACTCCCCGTCCCCGAGCACCAGAAGCGGGTCGTCCTTCACCGCGGGCAGCTCCCTCAGCCCCACGCCCGTAACCGTGTTGCACTTGTGGTGGAGCATTTGCGGATACCAAATCCGATCCTGCTCGTCCTCCTTTGGCCAGCCTGAGCCCTTGGCCGCCATGTTGCAGTGGTATTGCTTTTTGAAGTGAACGTGTGGCACCTCGGTGCACCGGAAGACAGCCACGGCGAGCTCGAGCTGCGCTTGCGTGCACCTGAACGGTATCCCGCCCATTAACTTGGGGAGCAGCTCGTCCTTGGCCTTGTTCCGCCAGTCCTCCACGAACTTGGTCATTCGCCCCCGGTCCGCTATTTGAGCCCAGAACTCGATATCTTCTTTTACCTCATTGGTGTCCTCCCATAGATCCCGGATAGGCTTGAAGTGGCAAAAATCGAGCACAGAAGGGATGCCGAGCTCCAGCTCCGATGCTGGCAAGGTTTCCCTCCAGATACGGTACATCTTCATGGCCTGCTCCTTATTTTCCCGCACGTACGTGGCCTGCTGGACTCGGAGCCGGTGCTCCTTCATCTGCTCCATGTATTCTATCATGGTGTCTTTGATATTCTGCCATACTGTACAAAGAGATTGTCAGACAGCAGCCCGCCGTGCTGGCGGTGCGGACTCACCGCGAGCCGTCAAGGGTTTGGCCTCTCGGACCTTTGGGTGGTCTTTCAGCGGGATGACATTGGGGTAACGATTGTCGTAGCGCGTCGGGAGTTTCTCTATCTCCTCACCCCACCCCAAGGCAGTGAGGCGTTCGATTATGCTTGGAGCTCAAGTGAGCCGGGTGAAGACCGGGTGGGGGTGTAGCACTCACGCCCGTTTTCTGTCGGCTCTGATCAGGTCGTTCTCAGCCAACCGTTTCTCGAACACATCGGCTTCCCAGTCATCGCAGAGTTCAGCGTGCTAGAAGGTACACTGTCAATATCGCATACCTCACGCTGTGATACGTCCTCACCTCGGTAATCTTTATGACCTCGCTTTGTCTACGTTCGACGTATTCGGCTCGTTTGTCTTCGGGGAGCGCATAGTATTCCTTCCTGATTCTCTCCGCGCTGGCCTTGTGATACATGATGTCCTCGTCATAAGCTACCTGAATTAATCATTTTGGCGAGGGTCGCATAGAATTTTGACTTACTACAGTTCCAATCGGACAAGACGAGACAGTCAAAGAACACTTCCTCCATCTCAACGTCTTCGATGTTTTCCAGGCTGAATGCAAACGTATGAGCTGATGCGTGCCGCTTGTCATGTTTAACCTACCATCTCCTAGCGCATCCGGAGCAATACCGCACTCGCAGTCTGTAGTCGGGGTTCCGGACGTTCTTGCGAAGACATTCCTAGGTGTTAATAGAATGTACTTAGCTCTCTGGCTCGAGACTATCGTCGAACCGCGCAGACGTACGTGGCAATGCGTATCGAAGACGAGATTGACATAGGCTGGTTCTGACATATCGGAAGGGCAGTCTGGGAGACCTTCTACAGTCCTGAGAGCAGCCCTCCAGATCCCGACTGAGGACCGGTGCATGAGGATGCGTCGGAGCGCTTTCGTAGTCCTCGCCAGATGCAGGACGTCCAAGGGCGGTAAATGTCCGAAAATCTAGCAGCCTCGCTCAATAACGCGTCACAGCGGTTATGGAGAGGGGCGCATACCTCAAATAATATGTCCAACGGTAGAGAAGGGAGACGCGCCAGCTTCCCACTCGCCCTTGGACGCGTCCATTTCTTCGCGGTCTTGGTGGCATCGCATTTCTGAAGGACTTCCCATCCGTTCCAGGCGGTAATCTTCAGTCTCTTTGGTTGTGTCCCTGCTTCGGGCGGTTCTGAGGTATCCGACCTTTCTCCGTTCGTGGGTGCCATCTTGATGGACGCGCTGTAAGACACGTAAGGACTCGGAGGCGCCAGCTCTAATGACTGCGCGACATGTCACATCACGTGCAGTTGTGACTCAATACTGTCCCCCCGCCCGTGCCCAAATCTTTCTTTCCATACGAGTCCATCGCTCGCACTGGATATAGTTTTGCTGACTGCTTTCATACTGATCGTTCTCAATGGAATGACAGCGACGTCCCTCACATACCCACCCACAAAACGATGTGCCCGGCTGCCTAATCGCCCGGCTTATAGCCATTGGTATTAATAGAGGGCATACTTATCCTGAAGTCTTGGAAACCTCCTCATAACTATGGGGGTTTCCACTACGTATACAGGTATCTACGTGCGCAACTGACTGTACGCACAGATTTACGCCAAGGCATGCATATGAAGCGGGAGGCCTTGACTCGGTAACATTTGACTGGCGAGACATGGCCGACGTCGAAAGTTACTCGGTATTTCAACCGCTGGATACGCTATGAACGATGCGGGAGCACTCCTCGACTCAAATAACATCAATCCATCGTCACAAAAAGCAGTAAGAATCCAAATGCATAAAGTCATCTATTACACCTCACCGAGGACATCATGATGTTACAGTGCTGGGCCAAGACGGAGGACGAGAGTGAATGGACAACACCGAGGAGGTTCCTCGAAGGGGACGAGCGATGGCCGAGGTAACAGTCCCAGAACAACGGCTGACACCAAATCCCGATATTCCGGGTAACGGACGTATCATCAGTTCCACTAACATACCTAGGGACACCACTGGCGAAGGCTCAGACCACGGTATCCAGATTATGGAGCAGAGAGTTGCGGGATGTGATTAAGGGTGATAGTACAAGTATGGCTAGGTCACAGGCACTGACAATTGCGATTATTGCTGCCCGTTCATCATATCTGAATTGAAGGAATGAGAATTTCCACAACATCTAGGCTACGGCTACTGACCTGCATTCTGCTCCGCGAATCGCGCTCCTACCCGCTCCGAGTGTTTTAGGAACTTGTCCGTGCAGTTCAGGACACATTGCTCCTGCGAAAGGGACGGATTAGTGTCAACAACCTCGCAAATCGCTCGGGTGAGAGAACTGCGCACCTCTTTTGATGACAATGCCTTGCTGGTGAAGTCATTACAGCACGCGTTGAAACATCTGTCCACCAGTTTCGAGTACATCCGCATAAAATCCTGCATCTGCATTCGGCCGAAGAGTTGCCTTGAGACGTGAACGCCAGTGAAGCTGCAAGAACTCCACGTACCTGCTTCTTCTCGATGATACGGCTCATGTGCGCCTGCTCGGCAGAGTTAAATTGCGAGAAATCCATCTTGGGGTAAAGTCAGAGAGCCTTGCTGAAGGAGTTTCTGTGATTGAAAGTCGTGAGGGCAGACAGCGTCGAACAGCAGCCAAGCAGTGACAGGACTTAGAAAACGGCGGCACAATATTAATAGTGGACTGTCACAGACGTCCGCGAAGGCCGAAAATGCGATGCACGTGCACGTGGTCGGCTCTTTCCAGACTACGATCATGGCCATGACTCCATCGGACTTGCACATTTTACGCCTCTATCATACCCCCCACTACACTCCTCCTCCATAGACGCTCTGAGTCGAGCGGAGTCCCTTCCTTTGATAAACCAAAAGTAAGATTCGTTCCTCTCTTCAACGTTACGAGACGCCAATCATTGGTTCGCAGTGTCGAACGGGATTACTCTGAAGGATGCTTTGCAAGGCCTTGAGAACAGGCGGGTCAAATTGATTAGACCGTTGATACCCCCGCAGATTCTGCAGGAAGACCTCCCATTGTGAGTTCTCTCCAGCCACGCCCGTCGATCGTGCTGTCTAACATCCCGATCGGGACAGGACGCTCTCCGCCGCGGAGACCGTACTCGAGGGACGCAGAGCGACTGAAGCTGTCCTGAGAGGCGATGATGATCGGCTGATGGTTGTAGTAGGGTGAGTCTCAAATAGCCCGACCCTACTCATCCGAGGCTAATGGTGGAGAAGGCCTTGCTCGGTGAACAATGTCGACGCTGCTATCGAATATGCCCACAAGCTGCGTGCCTATGCGGAGAAAGCGAAGGAAGACTTGCATATTGTCATGCGTGTCTACTTTGAGAAGCCCCGCACGACCGTCGGGTGGAAGGGTCTTATCAACGACCCCGACATGAACGGATCCTTCCGCATCAACAAGGGTCTCCGTCTTGCCCGTTCGCTGCTCCTCGATATCGCGAAACTCGGCCTTCCCGCCGGTTGCGAATTCCTGGATACCATTAGCCCGCAGTACACCGCAGATCTGGTCAGCTGGGGTGCGATCGGGGCGCGCACAACTGAGAGTCAGGTGCACCGGGAATTGACGAGCGCGCTGAGTATGCCCACGGGCTTCAAGAATTCGACGGATGGCTCGGTGGGGATTGCCGTCGACGCTTGCCGGGCTGCTCGGAGCGGACACGTCTTCCTGAGTGTGGGCAAGGAGGGCCTGAGCAGTATTGTCGAGACCGAGGTATGTCAAGGGTTAGAAGGCCATCAACGAAAGCTCATTCACTCCTTTCAGGGTAACCCGGACGTTCATGTCATCCTCCGAGGTGGATCCAAGGGGCCGAACTACGCTGCGGAATACGTTCGCGATTGCGGCGAGAAGCTGGCGAAAGCTGGTTTGCCTCAGAAAATCATGGCAAGTAGGGTCTTCTAGGCTGGTTACAAACGTTGCTGATTCCCCGCTCTTGTAGGTTGACTGTAGTCACGGCAACAGCCAGAAACAACATCGGAAGCAGGCTGACGCCGCTGAGGACATCGTGAGTTGAAATGTACCCTTCATCCCTTGACATAATTTTGATAACGCATCATAGGCCCGCCAAGTAGAGTCTGGTGGCGACACGGCCAACATGATCATGGGGGTCATGCTCGAATCCAACCTTGTGGAAGGCCGGCAAGACATTCCTCCTTCGGGCCCTGCCGGTCTCACGTACGGCCAGTCGGTGACGGATGCATGTCTGTCCTGGGAGCAGACGGTCCCAATCTTGGACCGACTGCGGGAGGCAGTAAAGGGTCGTCGAAACGCTGTTTACAGGAAATCCAGGGGCTTGCCAACTGAGGCCAACGGGCATGCCAATGGAGCGAACGGCAAAGAGGCATAAAATGAGGGCGACCCTCAATGGCGCGGAAGATTTGGGAGAGTATATCTGTAGACATGCTGTATCTTGTATTGTGTCCATGCTATCGTGCTTTGCGTCTACAGGCGAGAGGCAGACTGGCGACGTCACCAGATTTTGTGAGATCGCCAGATTCGACGATTGATCCGGGTTGCAAAGCTGTGCTGGCGACAGCGCTGGGCGCTAATGAGCTGCGCCTCCACGAATTGCATGAACCGTCTGCTGGGTCTCATTTTCGGCCATCTCGCCTCTTCTGCTTATGAAAGGTCCATATAGCGCCGTGAGACTAGTGTCGAGGCCGTCGGAGAGAACGGTAAAGGGGGTATTTACATTCGTGAGTAAACTGCCAGGAATACACGTACGAATTCCAGGTGACCATGTCTATGAATATCGTGCGCTGTATGTCTTAGGGCGGCTTCATCTTCCTATGGGTCTGGCTAGAGAAGGACAAGGACAGAAGAGAACGCCTTGCTGCAGAACACTATGAACCCCCGGTACCGAGCTTCACTCTAGGACAGCTGGCCTGGGCGGAAGGCATCAAGCTGGCTACAGCGCTGACCTGGTGTCTCTGGCGAAGAAGAAGCAAACATCATCAGCCCGACTATGGAAGAGAGTCACTGGAGCTCCGGGACGGTAACGAGGCGCGATTGTTATTTGATGCACGCGGAGACACCGGAATGGAAGACGGCGCGAGCCAGAGCCTACCCATTCATAATAACGTACCATCGCATCACCCACTCAGCGTCAAAGACTATCTTTCTGTTATTCTATCTCTGTCTTTCTTGCATGTCTGTTACTCCCAACATGTAAGTGCGTCTTGTCCGGCACTGTTTCGATAACTGAAGACGCGCGTCATCCAGATCTCGATCGCTGGAATATTCCTCGATCCTATAGCACTGTCCCTAATAGTAGCCGCCCTGCCCCTGCTCTCTCTTGTTCTCTTGCGCTCCTTATGGTCGAAATCTTTTACCAGTGTCGACTGGCTGTCGGCGTTGCTTCAGGTAGGACTCTCGTATCTGCGAGGGCTTCTTCTCACTTTCACCGGGACAGATCTGCGGATTTGTCATAATCAAGGTACATTCAGGCTAATGTAGAATTGACATTCTGTCTCTGAACAATGCTCTCGTTTGAGTAGAATATTCTACTCCCTAATTTCGACACATCACGACATTATTCCATCATACCGTCATACGCATTACACCAAGCAATTACTCTGGTTCTTACTGATTGGGTACGTAGAGTTGCATAAGTGCTTTAGACCGCACGAACGATCAGCTACACAGGTATTCAAATCATACGACCGCTCCCTCCTCGCGATCAACACTGGATTCTTCGGGACTAGCCTTTTCATGACTCTGGTTGTGATAGCTCTCTCACGAGATTCAGGGCTTCCTTCGCCTTCCGCCTACATGGACCGCAACATTCTGTATTCTGCCCACCAGAAGTTGCGCTCATCTCCGCTGCCTGAACTCCTGCGTCCCATATTCAAGGCCGGAGTCGACCTTTCAGAGCTGTGTATCCTCTATGGTGAGATGTGCAAGAACTCTTGATATTATGTGCTGACAGCCACGCTTATGTTGCCTTCCTTATTATACAGAATGGGGTGTCCTTGCGTTGTCTGTCTTCACGGTCATGCGAAGCCTAGCCTACATATCCGGGTACATGCTGTACGCCGGCCTCCTCTTATCCCAACCTGGGATCCTCTTTGCCTGCGCCGTTGCTGCCTTTGGGTGCTGGGCATTGATGGAGCGAGAGAAAACGGTCCCCGAAAACGATCGCCCTTCCTCAACATACGGCCCCATTCTAGGGCGCATCAGTCCCCCGCTGTTTCTGCCCGTATTCTCTTTCGTTGTTACTTTGGCGCTGATAATCCGTTCGCCCTTCCCCTCGGTTCACTTCCGCCCCGACCAGCAGGCACCGCTCGCGTTATCGAGTCTCATGGCCGAGTTTCAGCGGCCGAAGTGCGCGCGCATGCCCCTGCCTGTGCCGCCGCTGCCTTGCGCGCATTGTCCTGGCAGCGGGCACGGGGGCCCCGCGAAGAAGCGGTTGCATGCCTTCGACGATGTCCTGCTGGTTGTGTTTTTCAGCCATGCGAGGTATGACGTGAACCTTGATTATTACAGGGATGTGTATGGGGAGTGGTTTCCAAATGTACGGATGATCAGCGTTCTCGCTGCAATGGGTATATTGACTGGTTGTACTCGAGTTTAGATCCTGTTCGTAGGTCCCAAGAGTCGGGAGGACAAGGGTTTCAAGCACTCTTATGACGTCGTGGTCGATTCGTACATGTCTGACGAGGACCTGTCTGATCCCAAGCACTACAAAATGGCGGGGCGAGTGCGTATATCCATCCACTCTCTGCGTCTTCTCATCAGTGCTCATCCCTCACCGCCAGATGGCGCATCACATGCTCTACACCGCGCTGACCCAACATCCATGCTACAAAGGCTATCTCTGGGCGCCCTTCGACGCACTGCTCAACGTGCCTCGGCTAACTCTGTTCGACCAAGAGAGATTCTGGTACCACTCCTTCGCGGGCGAATATGTCTGGAATCCTGCCCTGACCGGTCCTCCTCCGAATGTCACTACGACAACTCCGGGAAGTGAGGAGCGGCAGGAGAGACATGGCGTCAGTGCCGGGGAGCGCATACCGAACGTCCGCGTGCAGGAAGATCCGCCTGTGAGGAATGACTCGGCGCCGGTGATGGACGGAAACTATGATCAAAACAGGCATGCAACGCCGGTGGTCGTCGGACCCGACCCGGAGGTGGATTGGACAGTGGGTTGGCGAGGCTGGGGACCTGATTGGTGGTACGTCTATCTGATCGTTTGATGCAGTAGCCCGATAACTGATGTAGCAACAACAATTCCATAGGTGGGGGTACGTTGCTCATGCTAGGGTATTGTTTCATGAATGTAACTCTCGGTTTCTAGCGACCCTCGCGTCGGCCTCAAGGCCTGCTACCCAGCCTTCCTTCGTACACCCGAGCATATGCGTAGCAGGATGTCGCGGCTTTTCACCAACGGGACGACTCGCTTGATAGGCGGCTCCGCGGATACCCTGTACATCCCAGGACAATATCGGGAGGTGTTCATCGAAACGTTGGGTCTGTTTCTCGAGACGGAATGTTTCTTGGAAATCGCAGTACCGACAGCGGTCCACCTGGTCGTCGGCGAACTTGGTGAGTTCGACCGGAAAGAAGAATTGGAAGACCCGGTGGAGATCATGAAGGGAAAGGGGATACAATTTGTTGATCATGTAAGTCCTTGCTTTGCGTCGCAGTAAGCACGTACTGAGACAGGATTATCTGTTCGCAGTGGTGGATATGGTATCCCCCATTCAACGCCACATTCGTGCGGCAAAAATGGGCGGAAGGGTATGAGGTGGATACGATGCACACGTTCCACTGGGGGGACGCTGACGAGGACGGGGAGTGGAGAGGTCGACCAGAGCATATCTACGACCTCAGAATGCTGATGAAGGAATCAGCACAAAGACAAGGGATTCCTTGGTTGTAATGTCCCTTACCTTCTTCTTGGGTATCTGCATCTCATTGCATACATATATTTATTTACATCACACGGAACCTTGCATTGACCTTGCATCACACATTTGTACATAACGCCACTATTTTAATTCGACCCACATTACGCAGACTTGACTTTACCGGGCCAGAATGCAGCTTCGCCTTCGCCGTTCTCGTACCAGCCTTTATCGTGGGCCAGTAATACCCTCAGCCTCGGATTTGCTTCCCTCAGCTTCCTCACGTATGAAATGTGCTCTTTAGCGAGTGCGGTATCCCTATGGGATCCCTCCGCAATATCTGCTTCTCCGGTTATATGTCTCCAGTCGTGGGCGCAATCGCCGCCAAGGTACGCCCACCCGCCATCCGCAGACGTGCGTACAAGGGCATTTATGTGTCCGGGGAGATGCCCCGGGCCTGCGGCTACCAGATAGAGGGAGCCGTCGCCGAAGAAGTCGTAAGCGTATGGCAGCGGTCCGAGTGGCTTCCACACTTGGGTGTCAAGGGTCGACGCATCGGAGGTTGGTGGTAAGAATATAGTTCTTTCGGGTGGTAGCAGGTCCGAAGCGAACCAGGACTTGGGATCTTCTGGATAACCCGGGTTGAACAAGTCGCGGCTCTCGCCCCCGACTATAATCTGGGCCTTGGGGAATTTGGAGGGATCGCCGATATGATCCCAATGGCAGTGCGAGAGACAAATATGCGTGATATCGTCTGCCCGCAGGCCCCCTTTCTCTACAGCCTCCAGAGCGTCCTGCTCGACTTTGGCTTTGAAGAATTGAACGCTCCGCTCGAAGACGGGGCGCGGGTAGCCTTCCAGGTCCTTGCGGATGCCGAGGTCAAAGATCATGTTGACGTCGGGGTGAAACTGGCTCCGCAGGAGGAATGCTAGGGCGGGGGCTTCGATGATTTCGGACGGGTTGGGAGCATTCGCTATCATGAAGTGAGCGGGGATATTCACTTGCCCTGCCATCAACGCAGAGATATCCCAGTAGGGCTGGTTGTCGCTGGGAAGGGGAAGAGACATGACGAGGCCTGGCTGCTACGCACGTCTACCTGGGGGAGTCTATATTGTCTTCCGTGTCCCGGCCTGCAGTGGATAAGTATGCGAGACAGACCACCGAGGACGACTAGTAAGTACTACTCACAGGCACAACGAGTGACGAGCTCGACAACAGCCTGGAGCACTACTGACGCTGCACTGTAGTTTGCTAGTGCTGGTGACTTCATACCTGGGTATTATTTTAATGCCGATAAGAAGACGATGGATAGCACGGGAGCAGAGCACCTATATAGCAAGTACATATGAGACCCTCCCCGCCGGACTCTTGTAGGCGTGAACGAGCCTTCAATGGGTTACACATCGCGCGCTCTGGCGTCCTTCCCTTCGCCTGCAGCTGCTGGCTATGGCTGTTCGCTATCGCTGGAATCTGAGCATAGTCTCGCCTGCTGTGAGCGGCCCGGCTTTGCCGCGATGGCGGGACTGGTTGGATGCCGCACCTTGGTCAAGACACTGACATCGATTCCATGGCCGACCATGGACTTCAGCCTTGACTCAAGCGCTTCCATAGGGATACAGGGCAAACCAAGAGAAGGGACAGCGGTCGACGTAGGGATACTGACCAATAGCACAAACTCGATGGGAAAAGCTGCATCATGCCGATTGCTGCGAGTGGTACGTACTCATTCTCGGGACATGACAGATACACATGTTCTTTCGAGGATAGCCAATTCCGCGCTTATGTTGTCAACAAAGTAGCTTTCTGGGTCTTTTAGCGGACGTCACCGATATCTACAGAGGCTCGGAGATGTTGTCCTACCGATGTCCCCCCCTCCCCCCGGGGTTTTTCCAGGCCGTTCGCACAACGCCTTCACTTTCCTATCGTCGCTCCTCGGTCGGAGAATGGCACTGTTCCGGCACCTCTGTGCTCTGTGTTATCAGGCTACTGGCTGGTCGCTCTCGTGACCCCAGCAGGCTGCGTACGGACCGGATGTGGAGAGTTGGTCTGACCAGCCTCGATGCACGCGCGAATAGTGCAATGACATGGACAGCCATAGCGGCCGCGACCCTCGCAGCTCTCAGGCTGCCAACCGTGGATTCGGACTCCAATGCGCCCACTTACCCTCTTACCATGCCCTGCCCATCCGCCGACCAATCGCAGAACACCTGGACACCAGGGTCCTCCTCCTCAGCCACGAGCCAATCACAGTGCCCGCCTACCGCACGGAGCCGAACAAGACACCCTCTCTGACGTTGGTTTTCTTTCCAATCAGACTTGGCCGTGCCCAGATCAGCTTCGCCCACCACCCGCGCGCTCGGGATCGCAGCAGACCCGGGTGTCTGTGCCCGTCTGCATATGTTCACCGACACAACCCGAAGGCTCCTGCGCTGTCTTCGGACTGCGCTCGAAATATCGCCCGCCGCTTATGGTCTATGTCGTAGCTTCATAGCGTTCGCCTCTGCAGTTACGGCAGTTAATTGCGCAAACGTAATGCTCAGACACATATCTGCTGAAATCTGCGCGCGGCCTTTGGAGATCTGTTTCGTGAAGTCTATCTTAAGACTCCCAAGCGCATCCCTCCAAGCAACGAAAAGAAATGCGCGGGCCCTGTAAACCTGTCGTGACATGCTCGCGGAGTGCGGGGAATCTTCGGTGTCTGTGCGTCCCGTCGAAAACACGAAACCGCCTACCGACCTATCTGGCGGTGAGTCCAGATGACGATCCATAAACCGGAGATGAAGAGATGACGGTGATGGTTCACGTCCAGGAGGCATGGAAAGCAACCTTGTACCTAGCGCCTTGGGAGGGGAACATTCAGCATTCAATACACAGAGTTGACTATGTTTAGCTTGAACACTGAATTCGTGATTTGGGCGTGTAAAGGAGGTGGAATCCTGCTGAATTCGAAGAATCAGACCTGTCTGGACCTCGTAGGCGCTGGGGGGATCGTATGTGCGTTTGGTTAAATTGCGCATGCGTGAAGTTCATACAAGCACTTCTATCGAGCCTCGAGGAGGCTTGGAATAGAATAAGTTGGGGAACGGGCGTGTCGGGTTTCCGCTGAAGGAGTGCGTGATAGTTCCAGTCCAATGAGAAAGCGGAATATGAAGAATAGAAAGCGTCTAGCGCCTGACTAGCAATTGCATGGGAAGTATACGGCGACAGATATATATGCACGCAATGCATATGAAAGATCCAAAAGATGGAATTGCTAATAGTGAATAAGCGCTCAGGGAAGGCCGTACGAGCACTCTTGGGATCAGACAAAAAAAGTTTGCAATCCACGTCTCAAAGTTTGCAATCCACGTCTCAGGCAGAATTCAGTGTTCCCAGTTGACCTACATGGTCACTTTTGCACGCCCATAATTTAGGCGCGAGGAATACGAAGGTATCGCATAATGGAGTCCGGGAAGAGCAGGTAGTCTATCCTTGTCCTATTCGTTGCAGGATGTATAGCGCGTATCATTCATTCGACGAGTCATGAACGAATCGTCATTGGTACAAATCCAGCAGAGGTCCAGATTATATACCACCTACTCATAGGCGTCGCAGACCCCTGCGGCACCGTGGAGTAATTGACCGGCTATAGACGGCCTTTCCAGACGATGGGTAAGCGCGTCAGCGGAAGATCGAGAATTCATTTATCCTGATTCCTCCAAGACGAAGCATTGATGTATCAAGAACCAAGATTCTGATAAATCGCAGTCTTGACGCCTTCGTTCGGGATGGCACTGTGAAGGGGAATACGCCTTGATGATCGACGCCGGTGACTTCCGTCAAAGTAGGACGTCGTGGTAGTTATCAGATTGGGAGGATAAACCCGACGTTGAGTTGGTCGCGAAATGATTACGAGGATGTCCGAGGGCTTCGCCGGCGCACCGGGGCAGAGCGATAGAAGGGCTGATTCGCGCCCGCGGGACATGGAAGCAAATCCGGAGGAAGGCGTGGAGACAGAAGGACGCCCAGATGCGCAGGAAGGTTACGGATTTGGGCAGCTCTGGAGGGATGGACGAGGATGAGGAGATCTAGTTGCCAAATGACTGGCGGGAAGGTATGGGGGCAGACACAAGAGCGGGCTCTGGTCCGGTCCGCCGAGGCGAGTCGCAGAGAAGACAGGCAGGCGTGCTCTGTCTGGTTTGTTTCGTCCGCCGCCGAGTTCTGAGTTGATTTCATGTCGTGTCTTGGTCCGCCGAAAACATGTCAGGATGTAGAGCGGTTGGGTACTTCACACAAATGTAGCGAGCGGTTTCGGTCCACAAGGCTTTGTGGCGTGCGTTTGGCGATGCCGCCACCGGGACGGAATGGTTGGATTGACGTTTAGTGGGGAGCGTGAGGAGAGCCTGCCGAGAATGGGGAAGTGTCGGCTGCGACTCTCGATTGCTGTCGGCGTCAGAGCATGTCCCGATATGTGGGTGATGAGCGCATACAGTACGCTTATGTGGCGGTTCTCGACGATCGTAATAAGGAAGAGAAAGGGTAGAGGCAGAGTGGTGGCTAGACAGGAGACGACCAGTACTCAGTACGGTAGGCAGACACTTGTATGGCAAGTCTGTTTCCAAGAATGATTAGACGGTGATACTAAGCCTGGCGCTTGAGCTATTCAGAGCAGGGTGGGCCACCAGGCTCCCTCGGGAGGTCTGTGGTAAAGGACAGCCTATGTTGCAGACGTCGGCGCCGACGTTGGGCGAGGGCGCAGACCAGAAAGGGTTAGAGCGGAGAAGAGCGGAGAAGGCGTCGACGATCGCACAAGATCCCATCAGCCCGATTCGTCCGCGATAAATTGGGACGTGCTCGGCTTCCTCATTGCTCGCTTCCAATCCAGCTTGACAGGTCTCTCCTATACACGTTCCGGCTGCTTTTAATTAGCCATGCTCGCTCCTACTTCCGTCCCTCGCCGCCGTCCCAAGCCCCCTCCGCTGTTCCTCCCTCCCCCGCCATGATGCTTCCCTCGTCGTCGTCCACGGCGTTGAGGCCTGCGCAGAGGCAGCCTCGCACCATCCGGCTTTCCATCAAGTATCTGCTCTCCCTCCCCGACCGTCTCTGCAACCCGCCCCCCGCAGTCGGAAAGGTCAGGTCCTGCGGCGTCACACCCCTCTTCAAGATTCGTCTCGAAGACGTCCTTAACCGCAAGCATTTGCCGCCTCTCGGCCTCAAGGATTTCGAGGAGTGGTTGTTGTTTGTCGAGAATGCCCCGGAGAATCTGTACGTGCTTTCTATGATCATGATTAGGTGCGTCCCTCTGACTTGATCTGTCAATCGTGGGGCTACGCAGGTACTTTGTACTATGGCTCCGAGAGTATACGCGTCGCTACAACGAGTGGGCTGTCCGCGCCAAGGCCAAGTCCGCCAACAGGACTGCGTCGCCCACCTTCTCCGTTGACTCTGAAGACTCCGACTGTCCTGTTCCATTCGCTGCTTTCGAGTACCATGTTTCGCCTGGTCCAGCCGACCCCTGCCCTTCTCTTGCCCTTTTCTATCACCGCGCAAAGCAAACTTTTCTTACCCCCGGCGCACCTTACGAGCTGAACGTGGCTTCCGACGTTCTTGCTCCCTTCCATACGACGCCGACTTCGCCTGCCTCTCCCCATGGCTTCGGCTGCTTCAGCCCACACCCCTCTCAGCAGTCGTCATACACGTATTCCCATCCTGACCCAGCCATCTTTGCCGACCTCAACCAGATCACTATGACTGCCCTCCGCGCGTCCCTTGATAGGTTCGTCCTCGCTGCATACTCTAATGTCGGCACAAACAGAGGGCTATGTGGGCTCGTCGGAGGCTGCACTATTGCTACTGCGGGCAGTCTGCCCATCTGGGTCGCGAGCTTTGTGGAGGGGTGGGTACGATGGATGAGATTCGCCGCCTTACCTGGCTTGTGGTTGGGTCTGACCATCGTAATTGCCAGTCTACATGGTGTGAGTATTCGTCCTACCCATTTTTGTCCCTATATGCGCCTGTGTTACCGGGGGGGTAGCATCTACGTCGTGATTCTCCCATGAGTCGTTTTGGTTTTGCTCTACGACCTGCCAGCATACAGTGCTGATATGTCTTTGATGACAGGTGTGTATGATGATCTATGTATTTGGCGACTTTCGCCAGCTCCGTAAATTTGAGCTCTCCCGGCCATCAATCTCAAAGCCTCAACCTCACCCGGAGCACCCAGTCATTGCCACTAACTATCCTCATCGCCTTACTAGTCTCAAGAGTAGGCTCAGTGTCGGTCAGCTGAGCATCGGCCCCGTTAGTCCCAAGAGTCCGAAGAGCCCAACGTTATCGTTTACCAGCGAGAAGAGTGGCAGAACGAGAGCGATCAGGGACTTGTTGGCTTTGCGCCCGAAGCAGCAAGAGGTCGAAGAACTGCGCGTCACCCCTCCTCAGCCAATCACGCGACCTCCTGCTACAATTTTGCCTCGCCGCACAAAGGTTAATGGTGGTGTGATGGTCACAGACTCTCTGAAGGAAGCACAACCAAAGCTCAGGGTGCAGATTCCGTTCCCTGCGGTTGCTCCTTTGCCCCCACAACCCGCCATCATCATCAGCGAAGCTAGGGAGGTCGAGCTCTCCCGACCCTCCACATCCTCCGGTTCTTCATGTATCAGCGGGATGACCGGCGTTCATGAAGTAGGATATCCGAGGATTCATGTTTCCGAAGCATTCGACGACCCGAACCCTCCAGCTGAAGGCCCCGCGACCGCTACCTACTGCCCTGAGACGGAACTCGCCGCTCGAGAGCGGGCACTATCCGAGTCTCAAGATGAGCACGCAGAGGATTGGGAGGCGAACGGCAAGACAGCCGATTTCATCCAGGCGTGGGAGCTCGAAAGCGACTGGGACGACATGGCCGACATGGAAAAGGGTCGGTTGAGCGGCCTCTGGGATAGTGACGGCAGTGGTCTGGGTATGGGCGTCGAGCGAGGCATGCGTTGGGGTAAAGGTGGTTCTGGTGGGAAGGAAGACGTCTTCGACTTTGACGGCTTGCCACCGAGGAGAGCACGACACCCCTACGCCTATAGTTTGCCTCTATCCGATGCTGCCGAGAGGGATCTGATGCGCACGCCCGGCGCTGAGGAGAAGAGGGCCAGGAAGAAGGACGTCGTGAGCGTTCAGAAGGAAGTTGTCGGGAAGACCGGGAAGTGGTGGACGCTGATGGCCCGCTTGCAAGAATGGTGTATTGGACGAACTGGCGTGGTCAAGTCCCGGGAGGACGCGAAGAAGCGCAAGGACGCAGAGGAGAAGAGGGCAGGCATGGATAGTCCATTCAGCTTCAGCGCTCCTCTTGCTCCCCTAAATTTCCCGGCGCAAAGCGTCAGCAAACGTACCACGCCGTCGTCCCTCTTCGGTTTCCAGTCAACAACTCCCTCCTCCCCGGCGTCCACCAGACCTTTGAACCCCCAGGTTCGACTACAATACCAGCGAAAGGTACCCGCGTTCGGCAGTCCTTTGACCAAGATCTGGAGTCCCGTTGTGACTCGGGCTCAGTGGGAGATTGTCGTCCGAAGCGCTGCTATCGCTGCCGCACTTGCCTGGATCCTGGTGGGGGTCGTCGTTGCTATCCCAGACGGGCGCTAGCGGATGTATGCTTCGCTTTGCTCAATGCTGTCGCTGCTGTTCCTTGCTGTGGACGACTCTCCTGCTCTGCCGTGCTGCTGTTCCGACGTATACGATGTCCTCTCCGGCTGTCCTAGCCACTCCCCGCTTGTCTGTTTCCCATGTCCGAATTCAAGCTTTTGCTGGTTCAGAGTCCACTCGTTATCATTTCCGATTCACCTATTCGAAATCTGCGCTTGCAGACCGTGGTATTGTCTTCATGTCTTTGTTTCGTTATTGTTGTTCAGCTGTTCAACACGAACACTTCCATTCTTTTCCAGTCCTCGCCTCCTCATATTTTCTCATCTGCACCCCATGGTCTCGAGATGCTTGACATCTCGATTCCCCTTGCCGCCTTCGTCATCTCTGCATTAACATATCATCTCCGCATCACATCTCGTATCCCACCGTCCTGGTTCGCTGTCAACCTTACATTCCTTGCCTTTAGTGATCTTCAAGTTCACTTGCCCGTCCAGATGTTGTCTGTAAGCTTTGTAACCTGTCGATGTGTTTTGTTATTAGAGCGGGCGTCTCAATCACCCTTGCCAACCATTGTACCTGCGGCCTACTATAATACCCTACAAACGTTGATACTGGTGTACATACTGTATTGTGTACCCCATAATTTTATTGTTATTCGAGCGCCCGTACTGCCCATGGTCCGGTAAACAGGAGATTGGAGCGACAAATTGGGTATGCTCTGAGTGAGGCTTCTGATATGCGCTATATCTGTGAAGAAGGTTGATAGATGATGGCTATGTCAAGTGCAGAAGCGGTGTCTATTCCTATCGGACAGATGGGGGCGCATACGCTCTAGAGTCTAGCGAGGCGGATGTCCCCGCATCTTGCGTTTGTTCAAACGATCAGGCCATGCCCGCCGAATGTACCGTCCCGGGATAGCTCGCGTGACCTTGAATTTGGCTCATGAGATGGAGACATTACCTTGTAACTCAATGGAAGGCGTAGTTGGACAGATTAGTTCGTGTTCGTGTTCATGAGCGTTACGCAGGTGCGTCGGAGTCCAACACCCTCCGAGCGGCCCAGCCTATCGGGAAGATCGCCGTCCGGGCAATCATACCTCCAGGGGGTGCCATCGCAAAGGCGTGTACGGGCGAAGCTCGGGGTTTCCATGGGACGGGGAAGTCAATTAGAAGCAAAGGTTTAAGGCGCTGGAGGGCTGCGTTCATTCGAGCGCCGTGAAGACGTGTGTATTGCGGGCAAGACTGAGAAATGTATGGGTCCCTCATCGATCTCTAGCCAGGCCCACCGAATGCAGCTTACGGATATTTGATTATTCGCCTTTATATATGCTGCTCATTTCGAGCAAGAGCGACGTAAACGGTCGCTCCCCGTACATGCTGTAGTAGATTCCTGTGCACCGGAAGGCGATAGCTCGTAGCTATCTATGCCCTGAGATGCGGAACTCGAGCTTCAGACGAGGTCTACTTCCGACTGAGGCGTACAACACGCACCATCTCCTCGTCAATCTGCGTCTCTGCAATATGCGTCCCAATTCTTGTCTGGATGAGGTGTCAATATGCAAGGTATGCTTCAGCAGCGCTATCCTCACATCGGTAGCCCTTCCTGTTGGTATAGTAGGTCTCCAAAAGCCCCAAGTAGACACGCGAGATGATCGTGTACTGCCGTCCCAAATTCTGGCCCGGTCATTGAGACTTTAACGGCAGTCAGTCAGTCATGGACAGACCGAAAATATTTGTTCCCGCTTACCCGGTAAGAAAGGCATACACGTAGACTAGCGCAGCCATGGTTAGATCACATGCCTCCGGAGATACGGGCGAGGCTTACATTTGCTCTGCAACTCCACTAGTCCCAGCCATATGTAACCTGAAGGATACGCCAGGAACTAGGACATGTTGTTAGATCGGTGATCCTATCACGTCAATTGGCGCTCACCATGACGAGAGCGGCCACAGAGAACATGCTTTACCGAGCTTCAGTCGGCATCAACAGGCATGTGTAGAGGCAGCTGACCTAGTAAAGACTCCTGGATTTGCAACGTAGACCGAAAATACTCTAACGTAGCCTTCGTATCTACAGTTGCAATTGAGAGCACTGCTCTGTATGACTCCCCCGGATGCACTTACGGATCTAAAGCTAGTCGTGAACGCGCCAAGAAATACACCAAACAGAAAAGAATGAGGGCATCCGCCAGGACTGCACTGGACAGAGTCACAGCAGAAGTCGCCTGGGATCACATTTTAGGTGAAATAGGCAGTGAGCGCGGGTAAAGACTAGCTCACCAAGGATAGCTCGTGGCTATGAAACGCGCTCCATCGTGTATACCGATAACTGAAAGCAGTGAGCGTCGGCATCATAGACGATTGCATATTCATTAGCATATGCGCCGAACCTGAGTCCTGCCGAGACTTAATTCCACTGATAGTGTCAGGGATATGGTTAGAGTGAATTCAGACTACAATACTGACTTAAGCCAAAAACTTCCACCACCCCAGCCCACCGTTAGAACGCGGGATTCAGCGAATAACGATAACCTACCACATCGTATCGAGGCGAGCGACCCCTGCGATGGGCGCAGGCAATGTATTTTGAGCGCGATAGACGTATACTCGGTAATCAGACTTACGACAAGTGCAGTCAAGAATCTGTTTTTGCCGCTGACTATACCGATTCATCAACACGGTTAAGGCTTCAAATATGGAGAGCCTCACCAATCCAGAGTCTCCTCACATAGAAACTGTCGTCTCCTGGTAAGTCTCAGAGACTAGTGATACTCAAACGCTCTCACCCGTGCACCAGCGCAGCTATTAGTAACTACAGGGCAAAGTGAGCTTGATCACGACCAAGATTAGATCATACCGCATACTTGCAAAACAACTGTGACCTGCCATGCATAGTTAGAATGGTATTTGCGGCATTTACTGGACGGATCTTACTCCTGCAGTCCTGTAGATGTTCGGTTGGAATCGAGGGTCTGAACGGTATGTTCTAAGACTCACCAGTCAATGCCTAACATGAATCCTTGATCTCCAAAATGTTCGATGACATATATGTAAATGTAATCCAAGCAAAATACAACGTGAACAGTGTCCAATGCCCTGGGATGTACTCGTCACCAAAGGCATGGTACACACTGAACTTCAAGTTACTGACCACACCAATGCAACCTTAGCAAATCGTCAGTAGAGACTTAGCAGCTCAACGCAGTAGGCATACCGCCGTCTTCAATGCGAAACGATCGTTTGGGTATCTTTGATAATACAGAAAGGCCTGAGTTGTATTTACTCCATATAGGCTGGCAACGGGCGTCAGCAGGGACAAGTCTAAGAATCAAACGAAGACAATTTCACATAGCCGCTAGCATGATGCATACGAGCATGCTCCCAGCAAGAGTATCGACCGCATCCATGTCCCTTCAGAGCGCCCAAGCAGTTTATACTGCTCCCCGCTGGCTTCTCGCCTGCGCAATACTCAAGACTCTCCGATCTTGTCTCGATGTGTGCCGATAATTTGGTCCTTGCTGTAGGAGGCGACAGTACCCGCCGGGGCCGTGACAGGTAGAACGCTGAATATTCTTGCAGTGAGCTACGGCGGGGATCATTCCACCACGACGGGATGCTCGGCCAGCAGCGTCGTGAGCAACGTTCGCTGCAACGGCTAGAAGACGGTCGTTGTTCGCGTATATTTCAGGGAATACGCCTGCCACCTTGGGTGATGGTATCAGAAGTGCTTCTCCCGCACAGCGTACGCCCATGACCTCCGTCGTTGACGTAGAGTTTGTCCGACCGACTGTCGTTGCTCAGAATCGACGGACCGTGGCGACGTCAGCGCTAAAAGATGATTGTGATATGTTACGCGCGGAGTACTACTTAGTGTTGCAGAGTCAAAAGTCAAGTAGGAGGTGCAAGTAAGGTGTACCGGTACCATGTAGCGATTCATGATCGAATACTAGCGTTATGCGAGATAGATCTCAGATCAACTTTCAATAGTCGTCATTTTCATTAACCACTGCCTAAGGTACATTAGGGCATCGCGCCAGTGCTATCGTGCCTATCATCCCAGACATTATCATTAATCATCGCATCGTGTCAGCCCTCATCACTTTCATAACAGATAAAAACCTGCGCTCAGTCAACCCACTGGCAAAAGTCTGGGTGCTCGACATTCCATTCGGCATGGGTGAACCGTTTCGCTTTGCGACTAAACAGCTTTGGTCGGACCCGCGGCACGTAGGACTCTAGCTTTCCTTGGCCATCGAGCGCTTCCAGCCTAGTCTTCACGGAACGGTGCACCTTCATGCCCTCCTGCATCAGGTACCCGAACACTGGTCGGCCGCGGCCTCGGTTTACGCTACAGGACACACCGCCGTCAGTCCCGGGCCCGAGCAGCAGGCGAGCAGAGCACTTACGACCACACGTATTCCTTCTTGTCATTCAGGGGGTTCGCATTGGCTTTCTGCTTCTTGTGCCGCAGAGGCAGCCACTCTAAAATCCGCCACCACCACGTTAGACGCAGCTGATCATATATCGGGCTGAGCGCATCCAGTAGTTCTTCCTCCGCTTCGCCGAGATAATCCGACTGCGCCGTCTTCTCCAGGAAGAAGTCCGCTTTCAGGGATATCTTGGAGGGGCGAATCAGACCGACAACGAGTTGGTAAGGGAACTTGATGGTCTTGAGGATGAAACGGCCCAAGGCTTTGGAGAACTTGTCTTTGGGAGGCTCCGCTTGGAGGACGCATGTGCCGGCTTCCGCTGGGACTCGGGCGGGAGGCTCGTCGTCCAAGGTCTTCAGGTCAAGCCCGACTTCGTCTTGGAGCATCTTCGCATCGAAAAGGATACCGGTCTTAGTCCGGAAGCATTCGCGGATCATCCACCGCAGGGGTATCCGAGCCAGACAATGGCGCGTGTTATTCCGGACGGAGCCGCCCCCAATGTCTGTCAAATGGTTGTCAAGCGGAGCACGATGGCGAAAGAACATGTATCGAACCACAATGAGCGCCTGCGAACCACACTTCCAGAGCATCAGTTCGATCCGGACAGGAGTCATTCACGGCGTCCTCGAACTCTTCCACCACCGACTCTTCCCTAATGTGAGCCATGGACAGCTGCGACTTCTTGTCCACTTGCTTCTCGGAATATTTGGACCGGTGGTAGTAACTCGGCATAAATTTCGCCCGATGCTCGTCCAACGCCAGAGCGTGGCGGAAGTACCATATAGCGTTGTTCGTGCCGACGAAGGGGAGATCACGGTCGACGAGGCCAACTGAGGCGACGGTGTCCCTGTTGAAGCATGAATACATTATGCACATGGTCTCAGGTGCAGTCGTACCACACGCCCAAAAATTCAATCTTGACATCAATAGAGAACGTCCGCTTGAACATTATGCTGAGCTGGAGCCCCTCGAGGTCGTCACGTTTGTACATCGAGTAAGCAAATGGAAGTTGTTGGCGGTTGTCCTTCGAGAGCAACCCGACCTAACGGCGTACCTCTAATGAATACGGCCGTTCAAGGTAGCAAAGAAGCATAGTGCGTACCTTCTGGAGCATACCAGCTAAGGCTCTCGCTGTGTATGCACCCCTTGAGAATCCGAATATACAGATCTTGTCGCCGATCGTATCTGCGCAATGTCTAGATGGATCATGACGATGCCAGCGACTTCCTACACTTACAGTTCTGCATCAAGAATTCATAGCCCTCTGTATGCTTCGTGATTATAGGTTTTTGGAGGATCCTTTTTAGAGACGTACCTTTAATATGGTCCGGAAGTGTTATAGCGAACATTTCGTCGAGCGTCTTAACCACTTTGGCAGCGCCTTCGCCCACTATCAAGGGCGAGGTGTATGTACCAATACCAGCCTGTAATATCCAATTGTTAACCATGGTCGCAGTTGATGTACGTGCACTCACTTGATAGTATACGAGCTGTTTTGAAGCATCGTCCTTCCTCATCATAGCCATTAACTGTACAATATTGGAGTTCTGCAAGGCACTCTGTGAGCATCTTATACAAGAGACCGGTTTGATAATACTCACGTCCTCATCGAACTGGTCTCCTGTACCATCGAAGCAAAGCACGATAGTACGACGGCGTGGCGTACTGGGGCCCTCAGCCGGAATCCACTGACGGCGAGCGTCCCTGCCCTCCCAGGGAGCCGAAGGACGGTATTCAAGGCTACCTTCAGTACTCGTACTGCCATGACCTGAGTCTTGGGAAAAGTTGCGGTTCCTCCTCATGTCAGTCATTACGGATGGAAGACGTAGCAGCGCGGGGCCAAGTTCAAGAACCAAGAATGGGACGCAGACCAAGAACAAGGAGCTGTCGGCGTTCACCACAACACGCTGACAATCCGGAGTTATATCCCAGAGATCCCGTCTTCAAGGCGATGCCCGAGCCCGATGCTAACAAGAGAAGGCCATGCCAGTCGGCTTCCATAGATTCACGCTATGCTTGCGACGTGAAACGTTCCTCGCGCGCGACAGCGCCCACGTCTGATGTTGGCACCTGTGAACACAATTAGAGCTAGTGCATGCTAGTGGCCACGGAGGTCATTGGTTCCGAGTGAGCGAACGGTCCCAGATTGAATAGCAAGTTGCCTGTTTGGGCGAACAGGATGCACCCGTCAGTGATCCGTGAGCCGTGAGCATAACCGACCCCTTTCACCCCGAGACGTGGTGTGTAGTACCGGCGCTTGCGGCGCCCTATTCAGCATAAGGGAGTTGTAGCCTTTGCGACGGGGGCTGCGATGTACGGGCGGCCTAAGTGCCGGGTCCCCCCGCCTCCGCGCCACAAGAAAAGGTAGAATGAATGCACCACCGTCAGACCAGGTGAAGCCAGTTATGTAGGAAAGATCCGCAGTAAGGTACCGCACTGATGATGGGAACGTCCGATAACGCAGAGATGGCCAACTTGAACTTGTTCCCAACACGTCCAACTATGTGGCTAGCTTCGCTAACGTGAATCCCTGCAGTTCAAAACCCGTCTATCCCGAGTCTTGCGGGTCTTCCGCCAGGGGAAGACAACTCTACACAGCATCCAAGCATTCAAAAGCATAGCAAGAGTGGCCACGTGCGGCTATTGGCTGAGTAGAAAGCCGGGCGTTCACCGCGGCGTTTCGGGGATGCCGGCGATCGATCAAGATTGGCGCATGGCTCCTCCCGGATTACTTATGCTTCCGTTGCAAGTTCAGTCCTCAGTGGCGAGTCCTCGGGTAACTTTGTGTGTATTGTTGCTCAATAAGGCGCATGCGAAGCTCGGTTTTGATAGCACATTTATCTCTGTAGCTACCCAGGCGACTTAACCGCGGACGCCGATCGGAGGTTCAGAGACCCTCCCACCGCCGTGATAGGTGAGACCTTCCCAAACGACGCCCGATTCTTGCATGTTGCATTAATATTGTCTCCGACGCACTGACTTGGAGAGGCCGTGGGGGCTCTGCCCGAGTTACCTAGGGTTCCATGCCCAGTCCTGTAGAAGCTTTGATAATTAAACGCGGATACTTCGACCCTTGGGGGCGATGCCCATGCCGCCACATCGAACTTGTGGCGGTGAAGGCCCCGAGGGCGCCAGGAGTCACTTATATTTGGCGAAGATGCTGTTTCTATGGTCTTACAAGAGGCGCATGTTTTTCTGCGGAAGATCCCAGACGATGGCATGGCTCTCAACTTGAGAATTGGCTAACCGAGTATCACAGCCAAGTACGACTACAACCGCCCCGGCTTCTCCTCCGGCACCGGCCACTTTGCGCAGGTAAGTGCATCCGATCCACTCATACATACGTGCAGCAGCTTGACGGTGAGCCTATCATAGGCTTGATACAGCGCCTCCTAAACAAGACTTCAACAGGGAGTCCTGTGGAAGAGCAGCAAGTGCGCCTTCTTCAAGCAGCCCTGGTGCAGGTACACCGCCCAGGGCAATATCGCCGGCCAGTCCCCGTGAGTCTACTTTTTGGGCTGAAATTTCGTCGCGGGTGACTTCTACTTGGAATAGGAACAACGTAGAAGGCCACAGAAGTAATCCTGGGCATTGCGGTTTCCTACGTTTGAGAGTATCCGATGGTTTCGCGAGCTCTTCGCCTGATCGATCAGTTGAGTTATTGGTTATTGTCAGCAGTTGCATAGCCGGACCGTCCTGCGGAGACGACATATTGTATCATATGGTCAACCTATGGTGTTTTGGCTGCAGTCTACGCGCTATTGTGCTGCCTTGCGCACCGGCGCCTACCACAACGTATCGAAAGCTGTCGATGAATATCTCTCAGTACAATTCTCAGGTATATTGCGAAAGTCAAAGCACATAGACCCCTTGAGAAGCGTTACAGATAAGCGCTACAAATATGCAGTCAGATGGGATACAAAAGCTAATAAATACCCGTCCCGAGGTATATAAGTACTTATATACTAAGATCTACATATGGGGTTCTGCTTCATCTCTGTTTCCTACTTTTAGACGACGAAGGCCTCATTGATGCATCGCGTGCTGCGGACCTCGATGAACCCGCGGGCCGAGATGGAGGTCCCGGGGTCTGACCCCTCTCGAACTTCTTCATAGGACTTCCTCTATCAGACGCGGACTCAACGTCGGAAATATCTTCCCGAGTTTTGCTCGGGGATGACGAGCGAGCAGCCGCTGGTGTACCGCGTCTAACCGATCTTTTGCGAGCGCTCCTCGGACCAAAGACATACATATCTCCGGCGTCATCGTCAGAGGTACGCGCGAGGTTGTCATCTCCATTGCTGCTACGAGACCTGACCGGCCCGAGCGAAGAGTTTGCCCGGCGAGGAGGAGAATCCTCATCGAGCTTGAAGGACACCCTTCGTCCCCTAGACTTACTCCGGCCACGGCCCGCCAGAGGCTTCGGGCGCATCTTCTCGAAGTCGGGGGATGATATCGGCGACTCCGGCTCGGGAGAGGAAGGGGGTAGCGTCGCGCCCGAGAACGCTGGGTCGTATGAGTGAGGATAAGGATGGCGTGAATGAGATGGCGTCACCAATGCCGACGATGATGACGGATGATGTGAGCCTGCGGGAGAGGAGGAGGGAAAGGGAACCTGGCTTCTATGCCGCGACCGATGGCTTGGAGTCTGTGGAGGCCAAGGTCCAGGGGGGAGTGAGAGTGGATACGTTGGGGGAGCGAAGGGAGGCGTCCACGGAGGGGCCAAACCAGGCCCATGTTGATGTTGATGTGGCGTTCCAGTAGCGGAGATAAGGTATGACAGGTGCTGCATAGCCTGGGCCAGCAGGTATTGTGCCTGTGCTCCTAGTTCATTCTCGGGGACCGGCGGTGGAAATTGAGACTGCCCTCTCGGGACTGGATAGACAGGGGCGTGGGACTTGGACCGAGCTCGGGAGCGCGACCGGGAGCGGCGTTCCTGGAGAGCCTTAGATCGAGGTTCTGTGGATGGACATGAGTACGTAAAAAAGCTAATATAAATAAGTTTACCTGAATCCTCTGACGATGCTTCGGCGGAGGAGTGTGCTGATAGGTAGTCGTCCTGATCCCCTGGCACAGGCAAGGGGGAACTCGACGCCATGCGAGGTGAATGAGCAGGATTGCCGAGCGACACCGCAGACTCATCCGAAACGCGTTTGCGCTTGCGCAGACTGCTGCCACCAGCGGGAGGTTTAGATCGGTTCGGCAACAGGACGACGTCGATATGACCCATATCCTTAGCCTTTGACCTTGCTCTCGTTCGAGATGTAGATTTCGCACTGTCAGCCTTGGAAACACCCAGCGGTTTGGATAATGATACGGACTCTGGAGGGGACAGGGCCCTGCCCTTCCCCTTCGCTTCCGTAGGTATGCGTGGGGGATCATCCTCAAAGAGATCTCGTGCTGTCGTCACACATGCTGGGGTATTGCGGTCGTCACAATCCTTATTTCTTGATATGGTCGGAGAGAACTTCTTTTCGCGAGGTCTTGTAGTGATGACTACTTCCGGCTTGAGCGGGCTTGACTTTCCAGACCTGATTCCTTTGGCTGGAGGAGAACGCGGGCGGGTCTCGACGTCCACATATGAAGACACACGCTTCGTGGTACCCTTGTAAATTGGCTTGGGTTTCGGTCGAGAGGATGGCGGTGAGGTTGCGTGGGCCGTACGTGGTTCGGAGGTGCCGGTATTCTCTTGAACTTGCAACGTGGTACGAGATTCAGCCACAGAACTTGCAGGATCTTCGGACAGTTCAGGCGATGGGAATGTAGTGGTCGGTCGATGATCATTGACATCGAAAACAGCCGAATGGTATGAAGGGCTATGTCCAGATTCTGTTTCCTCATGAACGCGCTGTTGTCGACCCACAGTCTGAATTTGTCTTCCACTTCTCCGACGATGCGAATCCAACATGGGAACTTCAGGTGACGAAGGCCGACTGTCTACAAGGCCTTCGACTTGAGTATCCGCGTCGTTCTCTGATTCGACGAGATATACGGCACTCGCTTCGTCGATATCCCAGCGCTCAAGTTCGTCGAAGTCTTCATCTCCTGAAGGAGCAGACGGTCCATCATTCCCCTTCCCCTCATCTTCCGAAAGCAAACGATCGGCGTGTTCTGTGGCTGAGTCTTGCGATACACCATCTCCGACCACTTCATCTGCGTCCACAGGTGGCGCGTATTCGTCTTCGTCTTTATCCTCTCCTTCATCCGACTCAAGAAGCCGAGAAGGTGCGGCAAGATGAAACGAGGACTCACTTCCGTCTTCCTCTTCACCGTACAGCGCTTTCCTCTTCTTTTCAGCCTCCAGGAAGTCTTCTAGGTCCTCTGGGTCTAATTCACGCGCAGGTGGTATAGAGACATCAAACCCTTGAACAGCAAGATCCGCTTCCGGCGCAAACGCGTCAATCTCGTCCACGTCGTCCTCTCCTTCTGTCTGGCCACCTGCGTCGTTCGCGTCTGCATCGGCGAATGAACCTATCTCGCATTGCTGGGACAGACTTCGCAAGACTCCGCGATCCCTTATGACAGTGTTGGTTCGAAGATCAATGATATCGTCCTCGTCAATTCTGCGCGTGTATCGCTCCTCGAGTTGGGACCAGACATCCCATACGCGCATAGCCGAGGCCTTTCGAGCCAAATGCAAGTCAAGGTTAGGATCGACATTGCTCGCTGGTGTCGCGGTGCGGCGATGCCTCTTTGTAGGTGGAGGGGTAGCAGTTGTTGTCGTAGATGTAGATGCGCGTTGGAATCGTGGGGCCAGGGAAAACGAGCGAGATACAGGAGGCGACGCCGAAGGGGTAATCAAAGGGTATCCGTGACGGCGCTCCTGGGCCTGAGACTCTTTAACAGGAGAGACATTACGATCCATGAACACAGGGCAGCCAGAGGAGCACAGCAGTGGATGTGTTCAGGTAATCGCGTTGTCGCGTGCCACGTGCTCCTCTTTTGTGGCTTCCGCAGCTACTCGCCTACCTACTTACCTCCGAGTCCCACCGTCAAAAAGCTCGCTGAACTCAGTAACCTGTCGAAGTTTGTATCAGAACTGTATCTGTGACAGACACGAATAAATTCTCGAGCTCCGTGATGCGATGTGGCCGGACCCCAAGAAGATAAGAGTTTCTCCATGGAGAGGACCGCACAAGCCCACAGACTCGATATCGCTCGAAATACACACCTTCCCTTTGGTTTGTACCATTCGAATTCCCCGATTATTGAATGGCAATGGTATTGTTGCTGCGGCCGACGCGTCGCAAAGCTGCCGCGTTAGAACCGCTCGGGGTCGCACGCTCTTACCTTCTAGTGTCCTCCTGCCTGTCTACGCGGGTGACTACACGGTGTGTTGTTAATACAAGCTTCGACAGTGTGCAGTAAGACCGCGCGAGCCATCTGCCCGGTTATCTCCCCCCTGACAGTAAGTTCGCCATCAATTTCAAGGTTGATGCATATGTGGACTGTCTTGGCTATCCTATGTAGTTATCAACGGAAGACTCGGGAACAAGAGAAGCCTAAGTACTTCGAATTCGTCGCCGGGTGGGGCAAAGATAGCCGGTTCCCTCTGGTTAGTACACACCATCACAACGAGTAATACATATTGCGGTCCACCAGACCCAATGCAAATTGACATTCCCTCAATTTCCCGTAGTTTTCAGTGGATCACTCCATTCCTATGCCGCATTTCTGAGCTCAACGGCATGGCAGTCTTTAAATATATCGCTCCATCATGCCATCGGTGCTTATGAAGTCCGGCACGGTGGACCAAACTTCTTATCTACGACTCAATTCGGATTGTGGATGCAACCATGTGGACGTTAACGTAGCGGGGAAAAGTAATGACATCTTGTCCTGGCATATCATCAACCTATGTAGGTACACCCACTCCGCCGGTATCAGGGCGCGTGCTGGCGCGTGCTGTGCAAAGATCGGCTGAGATGGATGGCTTCCAGGTTTATAACAGCGAAGAAGCATGCACATGCTGGTCGAGCCCCCTCCCGCCGTCGCTCCCTCCCCCTCTCCTCTGAGCAGCTTCAGTCACCGCTGTGACCATGGCCTCGCAGAACGAGAAGGCGACTCCGACGGGCGACGTCCCCGAGATGTCGAGGACCGGCTCAAAGGGCTCCTGGGACGAGAAGGCGGAGTCGGTGCTAGTGGTATAGCTGTTCCCCCTCGCCCTGGCTGCAGCACTTCTTACATGGCATCTTCTCTAGACCGCTGAAATGGAGAATGACCTCCAGATGCTGGACTCTGACTACGACGAGGAAGTCGCAGCTGTCGCGTCTCAGATGACCGAGGAAGAACTCCAGTCTATGATCGAAATGATTGTGGAGGAGGTGAGTCAACCTTCCCCGGCAACATCGAATTGCTGCTCATGCTCATTATCCAGCACGGGCAAGACCCTGTAAGTCAAGCTGCCCCTTATCCCCTCACAATTTGCGCTGAACGTTTCGTCCACGCAGAATTTCCCAGCAGCCGTGATTGAGAAGGCTACGTACGTTGTTGATGTTATTACTGACTGATGTCGTTGCTAAACGCTTATGCGTGCTTGTGGTATAGCCGTTATCTCCGGGACTCTACCCTGAAGGCGGACCCTACGGAGTATGCCAAAGTTCACGAAGAGCTTAGGCTTCAGGCTGCTCTGATGTACACGGTAACCTTCTCAGCAAAAATACTCGATAAGCACGATCTAACGACCGGTTTTCGGTAGAACTCCGCGTATCCGGAAGTCCGCGCTGTGGTTGATAACCATGACGACCCTTCTATGCCAGTCGCTACTTTCAGGGCATGGTTTATTGGGATGATATTTGTGGCGATAGAGTAAGGCTGTTCTCATATATTTCTGCTTCCAGTACTCTCATAGAGACTTCATCAGAGCGTTCATCAATCAGTTCTTCTACCTTCGTCAACCGGGTATCCAGATCACCTACAATGTCGTACAAGTGTTGTTAGTAATGTTGCGTATTCTGGCCTGTATCACCTTATCTGACGCCCCTCCGTTAGGGCATTCCCTGCTGGAAAATTGCTCGAGGCTATACTGCCGACATGGAAATTCAACACATTCGGTTATACATGGACTCTGAACCCGTATGCCTCCACCCTGTGTAACAGGCTTCTGCACACCGCACTCACTTTCTGCGCAGCGGTCACTTCAATCTGAAAGAACATATGTTGATTACGGTACATCCTATATTATCATGACTTCTCCAATCAACTGACGAATAGTTCCAGATCATGGCTAACGTTGGTTATTCGACGCCTTATACCAATGACATTGTCATCGTACAACACATCGACCGATTCTTCAACCAGGTCAGTATTTCATCTCCCAACGGAGACCTCTTAATTACATGTTCCTTTCTTTTACAGGCTTGGGCGTCTAACTTCGGCTACCAGTGTTAGTATGACATTACCTATCCATCGTCGGTATCCGCTTATATACTGTTCCAGTCCTTGTGGGAATCTCGACTAACCTCATCGGCTACGGGCTCGCTGGCCTTACCAGACGCTTCCTGGTGTACCCTTCATACGCCATCTGGCCGCAGAACCTCGCTACTATTGCGCTCAGCAAAGCATTCCACGCTGGCAAGAACGAGACCGCTAATGGGTGGAGAATATCCAGGATGCGGTATTTCCTGATCTGCTTCTGCGGAATGTTCGTCTACTTCTGGTTCCCGAACTACATCTTCCAAGCCTTGTCCTACTTCAATTGGATCACCTGGATCGCACCTGACAACATCACTCTGGCTGCTGTGACCGGTAGCGTCACGGGCCTTGGGTTGAATCCTCTTCCGACATTTGACTGGAACCAAGTGGTCGTTGTCGCGGATCCACTCATCAACCCGTTCTTTACCATGGCCAACATATTCCTCGGTGCCGTCGTAACCTTACCGATTATCCTGGGACTCTGGTTTGGCAACGTGTGGTACACGGCCTACTTGCCAATCAACTCGAACGGTGTTTTCGATAACACGGGTGCCCGTTACAACGTCTCCCTTGCTGTCAACTCCGAGGCATTGTTCGATGAGGCAAGCTACGAGGCCTATTCTCCTGCTTAGTAGGTGCTCGTATCCTTTAAGGGGTCAGCTGATTGACTAAGTCCCAATAGCCTTGCGACTGGGAATCTGCTGCTCTATGGTGCCTTCTGTGAGTCCAACCCGCGTTGCTCCTATTCTTCCCGAATTCTCATGTAGTTTGTCTTAACGTAGTCGCCCTTTACACTGCTTCTCTGTCGCATGCCTTCTTGTACCACCGCCGTGAGATTAGTATGGGATTCCGCAAGCTAATCAAGGGTACATCCCATGTCTCGGCCACCGATCGGGATGTGCACACACGCCTCATGTCGGTCTACAAGGAAGTTCCGGAATGGTGGTATTTCTCGTGAGTTCTCTGCTAGAGTCTTCTTTGCGTGAGCCATGCTAAAGACCTGTGCCACAGTGTCCTCTGCGTTGCTATCGGCCTTGGAGCTGCCGGACTGGGAGCGTATCCCACCAGCACTACTCCCGCCGTTGTGTAGGTCGTTGATCCACTTACCAAGGCGCTTTTGCTTACCTGTCCAATCCTAGGCTATACGGCGTTTTCCTTGCTCTCATCTTCTGTGTTCCTTTTGGAATAATTATGTCCATCACAAACGGTTCGAATTTACCAGTGTTACTTCCCGCGAGTTCTTGACTCACCGAGACTCTATAATTTCCAGTGCAGCTGACCTTGAATGTGCTTGCCGAATTCCTCGGAGGTCTCTGGTTTAGTGGTAATGCTACTGCTGGTAAGTTGCATATCTAACATACTGGCTCTAAATTGACACTAGGCATTTGCTAGTGAACTGTAAGTATGCAATGCAATGCACCCGGGGAGAATGAATACACTAACACAGAACAGATTTCAAGGGTTATGGCTACGTCACGACGTGAGTCCGATGACCATTGCACATCGGTGCAGCTTCATTGATTACTGTCGTTTGCAGCGCGCACACACTGTCCTTCGCACAGGACCTCAAGCTCGCTCACTGTGAGTTGTATTGCTTCGTGCTGCGCGTAGCGTTAGCTTACAGTGCTCTTACAGACGTGCACATTGCTCCACGTGTGACATTCATGGCGCAGCTCTTCGCAACTGTCGTATCTACACGTACGTGTAACCTCAAGGGGTTCGGGCGTGACTAACTGTCCTGTTAACATGCAGTTGTCTGTGTTGGAATCCTTAATTTCCAGATGACTCAGGTATGAGTTCATCATGCTAGCGCCATCGCCGTCTATGAACTCACCCATCTTTATTAGATCCCCGAAGTCTGCTCACCCACCCAGGTATGTGCGACTTCCGCACCCTTGCCTCGCATCCAAACTCAACATTTTCTCTGTAGCCCGACCACTTCACCTGTCCCGGCACTGTAAGTAACGCGTTTTTCACTCTCGTCCCGGACTGAACCCGTGTGCCACACAGAACACGTTCTTTACGGCGGCAGTGCTGTGGGGTACGCTTGGCCCTCGACGTATGTTTGGTGCCGGAGCGATCTACAACGGCCTGTTGTGGTGCTTCCTGATTGGAGCTGGTGCGTAACAAAGAGTGCGATCCATATTGTCTCTTTCCTGAAGAGCCCTCCAGTCCTACCATTCCCTTTCTATTTCCTTGGAAAGAAGTACAAGACCTTCGAGCGCTTCCATGTACCCGTCTTCCTATACGGTGCCCTGCTGTGGTAAGTCTCACCGAGCGCTTCACCAGAACGGGCCAATTAGACTCTGTATTACAGGGCCCCGTACTCCCTTGCAAACATCTGGTCAGCTATGCCCATTGCTTACTTCTTCAATGTGTTCGTCAAGAAGAGGTACCTGGCTTGGTGGAGTAAATATAACTAGTAAGTGTCGCTCGTATAGCAGATGGCGTGACCCTGATGGCATTGGATGCTCGCGTAGCCTCACTACCACATCATTCACGTCCGCCATTGCTTTGTCGGCCATTGTTATGTTCTTGTGAGTCATCATATTCACAGCGTCATCGATGCTAGTTACTCAACTACCTTTGCAGCGCATTGCAGTGGCCTGGCGTTGTGATCAGCTGGTCTGGAAATGACCGGCCGTTCGCTGGGTGCGACGGTAACGCATGCCCTTTGCTGCCTATTCCAGATCAAGGGTACTTTGGACCGGTGCGTAATATCATGATACTGTTTAATCGCAAGGCTCAAGGAACCATAACAGGGGCCTGGTCAGTTCCACTGAAATGTGATGAAATGCATGTGGGCGTAAGTCTCAGTGGGTATATATCGCGCCGTGTATTTATCAGATGTGTATTTGGGTGTCGAGTTTATGATCGGTAGACGTGTAGATAGCTCTGTATAATGATGTGAAGAATGTCATTCGTCCTTCCCCCGCTCCCCTGGACGTGGCCTACAAAGCAGCAAGGCTGTCTTGTGACGCGCTCGCTGTAGTAAGCTGTGACAGCCCAGCGGCCCCAGCTTGGCCTTGTACTATCATTGGGGGGGTTCTGTAAAAACTTGACAATATGACCGGCCAAGGGCTACCTTCTTCATCATTCCCTGTTATTTCACTCAGGCATCATAATATACCTTCCTAAGTACCATCTGCAAAAAGAATGATCTCGATTCACTATGTACAGAGTAATACAGAGAGATGCCGCAGACAGACGGCACTTGCGGGGAGTAATGTAAAAACGTCACGCGCGGGTAACACTATCCGATCCGCGCGCGTCTGTCACGCATCTGTCACGCCCTTGGGCCCTTGGAGTTCTGTAAAATCTACCATACGAGCACTTCACAAGCCTGCAGCTATTATCGGGTGGGCGCAGGAGGTTTAAACATACAAGAAACACCTCCTCTAGGCAAGCCGATATATGCCGGGGCCGTGTAGGCTGGCAGATCTACCCATCAAGTGGCCACCAGACTTGTTACAGTGGGCATTTTGGACGGTGTTCAACCTCCCATACGACAAGGGGCCAACTTGAGGCAATTCTGACTTCACAGACCATCTGTATGGTATACAATGCATATACGTACCAACCCGCTAAGCTCCCTGTAGCATACTTCTCGAGATTTCGGAGTTCTGTAAAAAATCTGACTTTTACAGAACCCCCCCAATGATAGTACATTACTCCCCGCAAGTGCCGTCTGTCTGCGGCATCTCTCTGTATTACTCTGTACATAGTGAATCGAGATCATTCTTTTTGCAGATGGTACTTAGGAAGGTATATTATGATGCCTGAGTGAAATAACAGGGAATGATGAAGAAGGTAGCCCTTGGCCGGTCATATTGTCAAGTTTTTACAGAACCCCCCCAATGATAGTATCGGACGGACGTGCGGCGAGATCTGACTGAGATCCAGATCGGCCGATGCCGCCGGCTCTCTCGATCGCGCAAAACATTTGGAGGACACTTAGGCTTAGCAGAGCTTCCTGCGTGGTACAAGGTCGTCCATTAGAGCCTCCTTGATTTCTTCACACCATACCTGCCTCTGGATTTGGTCGACGGACTTGCCCAGGACTTGTTTTTCTTTGGAAATATCTGGTCTTACGAGCAAGCTTATCCTCCCCATACCTCAATATGCCAGTCAATCCAACGAGGGAGAGGTTCAACGCGAAAGCTCGCCAATCATCCGCCGGTTCACACAAGCGGAAAGGAAAGCGAGCGAGCAAAGTAGAAGGAGATGACACGAATGCTGAGGTCGTCCAGCCTAAGTCAAAGACCCAGAAGGAGTTGGAGCGGGAGGAACGGATAAAGCAGGAGGTATGATTGCCACTTCTGCTGAAGGCTACGATGAAAATTATAACTTTATACTCCCTCAGCTCGCTACACACTCTGAATCGAAGATGTCTAGCAAGAAGAAACGCCGCCTCGAGAAGTACATCGTATGTTATCTCTGCATGAGGGATTACGGACCGTTTGTGCTGAATATTATTATACGAACAGGACAAAAAGCTGAAGAAAGAAGAGCGAGCTGTAATCCTGCAAAGGCTTGCGTGAGTCTTAGCTTGACAGTTTGTCACTCTTCATCCACTCATGCTATGTGTCAGTGCGAGCCAAGCGGAA